TTTGTCGGGTGCAATGCACAGAGAAGAGAACAAAAGAACACAGCTGTTTGCATGCATCTGACACAGTGTACCCTCACCCTATTCGAAACGTTACTTTGTCCAATGGGCCTCACAAGTCCACTCGCAACTGACCATCATGTCATGATCAATCCACGTGTACGGCCATTACGTGAGAACAAAGCTTCCGTTCCAATTCATCTCAGATCCGTGCGTCCGTGGTCCCACACGTCTTGCGCGGGACCCCAGGCCTGGGAGAGGAACAACTCATGTGGTTGTTGCCCCCACCCTTTATTTGATTGGCTGTCACGACGTCTAGGTCAACTTTATTTTTCAGAAACTCGTTTATGGGACCTGCGATTCTGTGCCCTGAAGATCTCGACAGACATACGCACACGGTTGCAACACTTTTTTTTTTCATCGAAATTGGGAAGGTGGTGGGGGGTTGATGATCTGGTGCAACGGTAGGGAAAAGGAATTTGATTCGACCAATGACGTTGAGCCGGCAATGGCACTATAATCTTCGAGTTCCGAGGCTGTTGTTCCTTCCTGCCTTTTCTAGAAGACGACTTTTGATTAATCCTGGTCTAAATTCTAAAACAGAAAGCGAGGTTAATTCAAGAAAAACGACAACGTCTTAGGCTAATTGGTTGGACTCTGTCCAATTCCACCAGTTTCTTGGGAGGAAATTCCGGAAGCAGCATTTAGGCACATGGGACTAATGATGATGATAATGAAATCGAATTGCATTAGTATAGTAATTTAAATCGAATTACAACATGAGTTTGAAATTAGTTTTATTATTATGAGAAATTCTAAGTTGTGACCACCTTCATACTCGTATAATCGTGGACAACATGGTTAAAGAATTTTATTTATATATAAATACATGTGTGCATAATATTAGTAGATTAGTAACACCATATTGCAATGTGACTCTCAAATGGAAGAATAAATAGAACATGAAATTTGGGGTGAGTTTTGAAAATGGAGACGACCTTTCTTTTCTTTTTTTCTTTTTCACATTATCAACTACAATTTTAAAATGTTATCAATTTCAACATTTCGTGTGTGACTATATATCTCTTTGTTCACTTTTCACATGGCAAGTGGAATTCCCAGTTTAAAACGACGATAAGACCACACCCTAGCATCTCATTAAAGAAATCTTTGGAGGAAATATTTTCTAGTGCACTTTTGATATGATGGAGTTGTTGAACCAAAAAAAATATATCACTTGGGTTGTGTTTGTCTAAGCCCACATCCAGCAACCCTTATCTAATATAGATGATAAGTGTTTCAAAGAAACAAAAGAAAAAGCATGTAAATCCAATTATTCCATATGCTTTTCAAATTTCAAAGCCAAAGGATAAAGCAATTCAAAAGTGGGTTGATCCCATGTGCAAGTCCCCTCATTTTCCTCGAAGCTTGGTAATCCAAGTGCAAGAAAGGAGTTGAGAACAAATGGGAGTTTGACCAGCCAATCTCAAGAGAGGTTGGTGGTTCCAATTTTTATGGGGCTCAACCGATGAGGAGGATACAAAAGGGGAGGCGGTGGACAGATACAAAAATAAAAAAAGGAAGCTACAAGGCTTGGGGGAGAATGGAGCATATCCGTGCTGAAGAAAATGACAGAGGCATGGTTGACTTGCTGGGCCAAGAATTTCTGTTTCTTTATTGAAGTAGCATAATATGGAGCCGTGCTGAAGAAAAATGACGGAGCCGTGCCACGTGTCAAATGCGCAAAGCCGGGCGGCTATACTATTTTGGGAAAAAAAGGTAAGCAAATGGTATAGCCGCACGGCTATGCTAGTTTGAAAATATCTGCTCGGCTATACATAGGCTAATACCATTTTAAAAAGATCTAGTATCGGTGGTTGGCTATACTATATATGTATGTAATACAGACCCGCCCAGCGCTTATGCGCCACGCGTCAAACGAGTAGCACCCGTTTTTTTTTTAAAAACCATATAGCCGCATGGCTATACGATTTTTAAAAGCAATTAAGGGGAAAATAGTATATACAATTTTTCTTCAATAATATGTGAGAATTATATGTTCAATGGTTAATTAATATATATATTTAATTAATCAAAAAGTTAGCATTGGGCCTTAGGGCTCTTGGGCGTTGTGATTTAAATTAAACCCGATTAGTTAATTAATTATTTGAATTATTTTTAAATAATGTTTGGAATTTGTCCTATAAATTCATAGAGAACATTCATATCATCATTCTTGCATAGCCGCATCGATAAACCCAAAAATTTCACTAGAAATGAAAGCTCTAGTGCTAGAACTTTGATTTAGAAAGTTCTATCCTAGTGGAGCAAACGCCATATTTAATTTCATTATTCTATTTGTTGTTTAAAATATAATCTATATATATAAAGCAAAAGGCGGAGAATGATGAAACATTCAAAATACCAAAAAATGCCCTTGGTTGATTCAAACACAGAGAATTAAAATTATTAATTAAATGAGGATAATATGGTACATTCACATTTTTTTATATTAAAAATTAAAATTAAAAATAAAATAAGATAATAGGTCCTACTTTTATGAAACATAAGTACCTATATTATCTTTTCTTAATTCTAAAAATTAAAAAAATTAAAAAAATTAAACCAATTGGCACATGCGTGAGCATGTGCCAAGGGGCTAGTTACTAATTAAAGTAATTAAAAAAGGCTAACATATTACTTAATTACATATATTAAATTAAAGAAGTAGGCCAAAAAACACAAGTTAAGAAGAAACTATTTATATATTTTTAATATTTTTTTATTTTAAATAGTATAGCCGCACGGCTATACTATATATATATAAATTGACGCGCCCAGGGGCTAGCTGCCACGTGTCAAATGCGTAAAGCCGGGCTGCTATACTACTTTTGAAAAAAAAAAAGCAAAGCAGGCAAATGAATATAGCCTATTTTTAAAAAAATTTCAAAAAGAATCTAGTATAGCCGGTCGGCTATACTATATATGTATGTATACAGACCCGCCCTGCGCTTATGCACCACATATGAAACAAGTAGCTCTGTTTTTTATTATAGCCGCTCGGCGATACTCTTTTTAAAAGCAATTGAGGGGAAAATTGAGTATAGCCGAGCAGCTATACTGTTTTATTTTAGTATATATCATTTTTCTTCAATAATATGTGAGAATTATGTGTACAATGGTTAATATATATATATATATATAATTAATCAAAAGGTTAGCATTGGGCCTTAGGGGACTCAGGTGATCCATCAATAGGTGAGAATTAGTGCTTGATACATCAATAGGGGCTCAGGTGATCCACGTGAAGTTGTGAGATTATTTCGTGCATGTAGGTCTTTTATGTGTGCAATGTAACTCGAGAGATAGGCCGAGCATGCCAGTTACAGTTTTAATGCTAAGTGGTGAAGGGTCATTGCCTCAACCTCAAAAATCTTGTTCTTATAGTGAAAGGGATCTTGATGAACTAGAAGTCGGTCATTCTTTTACAACATTTTCAACAAATGAACACAAGTGCTTTAGATTTGGGGCAAAGATTCATGAAGTTCCAAATTGTGTGAGGAAGGATCTCCTAAAATGCCACTGCAATGTGCACGTGTTATAAGGTATGCAATTATAGTCACTTCAATCATATGCACTTAGCGAGTTAGTGATAGGGGAAACCAGTCTAGAATTTTCAGATTCTTTAGAGAGCATGTGTTTTTTGTCGTTTTTGACCATTGTGTGATATTTACTACTTGTAGTCCTAGATGGCTATTTCGACTTTAAAGGCTATTTTGAATTTCTATGTGATATTGTGGACTGTGGTAAAGACTTCTATTTGCTTTGAAAGCCATTTAGATGGTCAGGTAATTATTTATGTTTACTTAGCGGTCCCAACCCAGAGCATATATATACAGTTTGAGTTTGGTGTTGTATTACTTACTGAGAAGACTCGGGGGAACTAAACCATGCATGTTCCCTTCTAATGACTACCTCACCCTTACTCTCACCCTCATCCACACACTTGTAGTAACATTTTACATATTGAATCAATGGTCAATAAGCTTTCCAATAACATATTTGTTCTAGCTAAGCAGCTGTGAGCCGGTGGCAATGAGAGGGTACTAAAGAGACAGATACTACTACTTGTGTGTGTGCGTGTGTATGGAAGTGGATCCATGACACTATATTTTTGACACAAGTTTTGACACAACAATGCCCAATCAAAAGGGTATAGCGGCCCGGCTATACTATTTTTTTAAAAAAATTTATTAAAAAACGACCCTTCTATTTGCATTAGTTTATACTTTATAGATATTAATTTGCTAGTTTCGATATATATACTTTATAGATTTAATTTTTTTAATATATATTATTTTTATTGAAAATTTTATAAAAATCATGTGTATTATACATGAAAAATACATACGTACGTGTAAAATACGAGTATTAAACATGAAAATGCTAAATTTTTTATACAGCGAATAACTCTGGAAAAGTAAAAACTCAAAAGGGTACAATAGAGACTCGTGTAAAGGCCTAATTGTAACGGAAAATGCTCTAAACTATCGATAAACAAAAATCAGGGAAAAAAGATAATAGTATCCATGTCAACGCGGCTATACTATTTATAAAAAAAAACCCCAGTGGCTATACTCTTTATTTTTATATAAAAAAATCCTGTGTATAGACGCGCGGCTATACTCTTTATTTTTAAATAAAAAATCCAGTGTATAGGCGTGCGGTACTCTTTATTTCTCAACAGTTGCTTACAAATTTTGAATACTTTGTTTTTTCAAAGTATATTTAACTTCACTCTATAATTTATATATCAAACTTGACAGAAGCTAAATCAAACAGTAATAATACACTAATACAAGGCTACAACGTAATTTTTTTTAAAAAATTTGAGCTTAAATTAGAGTGAATCTTTACATACTGAAAAAAAATGTGTACATTACCTTGAGCTTTTTCCACAACAACACACCTAACAATTAAAGTCACCAACAGTTAAAGGCAACTTACCCTACAAAGAAACCAGCAATATGTACTAACAGCACCGAAAGAATAACCACCCCAATTTCTCCAGATAACACTGTCTGAGCATGAGCCATTAGAGACAGATCAGCCTGCAATGTTACAGCAACCATTGAAGCTTTGAGACGGACAACATTCTCAAAGAATACACTGGCCCACAAAATAAAATCTAGTATGTTTGAGAAAGAGAGCACATTTGGAAGGAACCACAGGCAAGAAAATCATATTTTACATATAAGTAATTAAAAGATATTTATATGCACAACAAATGTACCTACATGCAAGCAGTGATGCAGCTAGAACAGCAAAAAGTGGCGCACAAGGTATCACAATTTTAACCACTGCAGGAAATGCACTCTGCATATAAGAACCTAACAAATTGGAGCAACAACGACCTGTAGATGACAGAATAGAGACCATAAGCCCCAGCTGATGGATAATATAATATTACTGAAGTTTGTTATATTTAACTTAACCCGCATGGTGCTGATTGACAGTTTGGCAGCATCCACAGGGACGTAAGTCCCTGCCAATATCTTTGTTAGTAGAGGAGGCTAGGCTACTGCCCCAAGAGTAGTGCATACCGTCATTACAATAGACAGAGGAACATCCCGTTGAGCAATTAAGGTCACCTGAAAGGCAATTTCATAAAATGCATTTGATGGAGTTGAATAAATGGCCTAGGCGGGCGCTAGGCGGCCTAGGTGGGGGCTAGGCGGTCTAGGCTGTCTAGGCGGGTGCTGGGGCCTAGAAGAAAAAAAAAGGCCATTTTGGAACTCAAAGGTCTTGGACGAGATGACGATGGCGCTGAGGCGAGAGAGGGAGAGAGAGAAACGAGGATTGAAGAGGTTGCGAGTTATGTGTAGGGTTTAGAAAAGGGCCTGGCAGGAGAGAAGGGCCTGGGCTTCATAAAATACAACATTAAATGAATTTTGTATTATGAAATCACTAAAGTAACTACTAATAAGTAACAAATAAATATTTTAATATTTTAAATCAAAAAAATATTATACTATTTGTTTAATATATAATTTATATATCCTTTTATTTTTCATGATTTTGGTAATTTATAATACTAAATAATTTATTAAAAAAGCATAGGCACTCGCATATTACTCCTCTAGGCTCTAGGCCCTTGCCTGCCGCCCCCTTACTGTATAGTGATTTTTCGAACATTGGGATTAACATGTTGGTAAATTGAGGTGTACTAGCACTTCAATTTACAACCCTACAATTTTAACTGACTCCAATTCCCTTCTGTTTGTGTTCATAATTAACTAAAAATTTGTTGCATTGCATGGCGTTTAGATTTAACTTTTCTGGTATAATTTTTCTCAAGACTATAAACAAAGAAGCAGTTTCGTCAGTTCTCAATTGATTGTGTTATGGCTATATGTCTCCGGAGTATGCCATGGGCGGAATGTTTTCTGAAAAATCTGATGGCTACAGCTTTGGATTCTTGCAATTGGAGATTATTAGTGGCAAAAAGAATACCAGCTTCTATTCCAGTGACCAACATATTTGCTTAACAAAACCCTCCATTTTACCTATTGTGCTTTGATTCTATGAGCCACAGCATCTCCATTCTCCCCTTGTATATATGGATGATTGAGTACATGCTAGATAGTGAAAGTTTTTGCATTTTGATATACTCTTAGTGGTGCAATTGGTTGCTCTTATGTCTTTGTCAGAACCAAAGGCTCCTCTTGGTTAGCATAATTCAAAGGAATATGGTTCCAGTGACCATCTAGTATGCAACTTTGCCCACTACTGAAGTCAAATCATCAGAACTGAGTATAAGAAATGGTACAAATAATCTTCACTATTGTTATCAACAGTGTCTTCTGCATCACGATTCTCTTTCTTTGTTTTAATGAAAGTTTGTAACTTAAATTTGTGTTTCTTATAAACAGAAAAATTATAAATTGCTCTTATTATAGAGTTCATGCAATAGAATTTGGTTAGTAAAAGTGTTGAGACAGACTTGTTGATCTACTCAGCTCTTTTTGTTCAAAGTATTTTGGATGTGTTATTAAAAGTGTGAACATAGCATTTTATTCTTATGGTAAATGGATGCTATATGTGCAATGCTTATGATTTCTTATCTCCGTTATAGGAGAAACAAAGACTTCCGTAGCTTCTGGAAATGAGCATATTGGGGAGAAGCAATTAACGAATGTCTTAATTGGTGAAACTTCTTATAAGAAGATGGAGTCAAAAATAGTAAAGGAGCCACGCACAGTTCCAACAATGAGGCACTCATCACCTATTTCCAGTCCAAGCAAGGGATATGACTTACAAATTATTATTTTATTTATTTTGGAACTGCAGAATTGGTTATCCTTTAAGTCTTCTTTTAAGTTTAATAAAATTGGTAATATATTTAGGTGTTATTTTTGGGTGTCCAATTCTTTCCTAACAAGTTAAGAGTATATATATATATCTTCGCAACATTGAAATTGTAGCACAGTTGTGACCGTGGTTGGTAATTTTGTTGCCTTGTCATTTGTTGAACCTACCTTCCTTCCTTTATGTGGTAACACACTTGTGTTGTTGAACATAATCATGCAGATAGTGAAGAAAGAGATCTCGTGAATATTTTTGCTAGTCTCAGTCCCTTCGAATCTTCCTGCTCGACATGCTCCTTGGAAGTGGGTAACTTCTCCTTTTAATTAAGATGTTACAGATATGTATTCTATCATGATTTCAACAACTCATGTTGTGATTTGAATTAGAGTTAATATTTTGTTTGGTATTAGAAGTTGATCAGAAAAATGTTGCTTGAGAATATGTGTGGTTTTTTTTTACTTAAAATTAAAAAAAAACTTAAATCCTGTGGGATCGCTTTTGCATCCTATGTTGATGTTCTGAATGCACTGTTTTGTCATGGCTGCTGTTTTACATATTTACATATATCAAGTTAATTAAGTGCTCTCAAAAGCTTCATTGATGTTTCTTTCTTTAGGGGAGGCTTCATCCTTGATGCAACCACACCTGGAGAATTAATTGGTGGGTTAAAGACTACCATGTAATGCCAGGAACCAAGCCAAAAAAAAAAAAATAGAAACTCAGAGAGAATGAGAGGGGAAATTGACTCTTTCCAACTAACAGGAACAAGACATTTTCATTAAAGACTACCAATAGATTGATAGTGTTCTTATGGTCAACAAGGACAAGAATTCCAGGGTTGCTCACCTTGAGTACACCTGATGAACCAGTGAGGGGTGTGTCTTTTAGTCTGCACTGTATATGGAGAGTTAGACTCTAATTAGAAGATAATTGTATTAATTTGATAAAGTTTTCTGTAACTGTCTCTCACCTTAAAAAATCTCACAATTAGCAGCATTGGAAACTTGATTAGAAAGTAGAAACCCTACAGTATATAGTTTAAGTTGAGTAGGTGCGAAGACAATTAGTAAGCTATCAATACTAAAGTTGAATAGTGGGGAGCTGTAGGCTATTGTGGAGGGGATCAGTGATTAAGAATTTCAATATTGTAATGTCAAACAGAGCTATGCTCTTTCTATTATCAAAGACTCCTCTTTGAGTGTCTCATGTAATTTCTAGCTATTTCGCATCAGCACTTTGTGTTTCATCAATCATAATACCGTGTGGCTAAAGAAACACACATAAAAACTGTTTTACAAACCTACATTATTATAGGGTTTAAATGACAGTGGCATGTCCGTCAATAATTTGAGTTTTATAACTAGAAAGATCAGAGAACACAGAGTCTCCTAGATGTACCCAAATTATTGGAACATAAGGGCGCCACAAACCACCACCAGGCATTCTGATCAGTTCAAGTCTCAGCTGATCCAGTAGGTCCCGTTTGACAAAAATGCCACCCCCCAAATTCAAGCAGATCTTCAAGCCCCTCAACGACCTACAGAGGAAATAATGAATTTTCTTTTTTACGTTCTCTCTGGAATAGCTCATCATAGATCAAACCCCAATATAGCAAGAAGTAGCCACTCAGTCATTCCATAAACCATAGCCCATTCCCATATGAAACTTGGGTTCTTCGTTGTATCATTTGCAGGACTCCTATTTCTTGAACTTCCATTAATTCCAAATCGTACGAAATTAACTGCCACCGCAGGAAAGAAAAAAAAACAAAACAAAACAAAATTAACATGCATGTAAAGGGCATCTATTAAGAAAATCATTTCAAGCTAAACTGGCCTAGGAAATAATCAGAAGGATTTGAAAATATTATATGGCATTTACCTTTCATTTCTTCAAGAATCTGTTTACTAGTAGCAGCCACAATTATGTGTGAAATTAAATTCAGCCACTTTACAGACTGAAGGAAACAATTCATCAAAAGTTGCATACCCTTGCAACCAACTAACCATTACTCTCACAAAACTCTAGATGTACATTTATTTAGAGGATATTCCTATAATCAGTTTCAACACACATTTGACGTAACAGTTAGAATGGTAATGTGTTTGCTTGTTTCTCTATAAGTGTAAAGGTTGCTATTAATGAATGTAGATACAGATTCAATCACTTCAATTGTTAACGTGCATCAACTATACCTGATATCACCATCCATGGGAGCATGCTTCACTTCTTAATCTGAGGACAACATATATATATATATATATATATATATTAAACCACGATTAACCATCAACAGATCAAACAAAATGTCAATGAAACTCGCATTTTTTCGGACAGGCTTAACCCTGTTTGGACTTAATGCAGATTGCAGACTAGGGTTGGTTGGTTCTCACAAATTCTACTATGCTTGTTTCCCTATTTCTACAATTTTTTTTCGTTTCCTACGTATATAGAAGAAGAAAAAAAAACCCTATGCGACTATGGATATGCTTAATGTCGTACACTGAGGGCAACAGAATCTGCATACTTTAACAACCTTGGAAGCAAATATCCCCTCATGTTGAAACCATTCCTTCCAATCCATACCCTGCATTACGAAAAATCAGCCTAGGCGGCATGGGCGGATCTGGGCGGCCTGGGCGGGTCTGGGCGGCGCTAGGCGGGTCTGGGCGGCGCTAGGCTGGTCTGGGCGGCTCTAGGCGGGTCTAGGCGGCGCTAGGCGGGTCTAGGCGGCGCTAGGCGGTTCTGGGTGCCAGGATGGGTCTGGTTCTTTTCTTTTGTTCTTTAAGCCCACTGCCTAGCGATTTTTCAAACTTATGCACTGCAGGGCTGGTCTAGGCGGCTCTGGGAGGGTCTGGGCGGGTCTAGGCGGCGCTAGGCGGGTCTGGGCGGCGCTAGGCGGGTTTGGGCGGGTCTAGGCGGCGCTAGGCGGGTCTAGGCGGCGCTAGGCGGGTTTGGGCAGGTCTAGGCGGCGCAAGGCGGCGCTAGGCAGATCTGGGTGCCAGGGTGGGTCTGGTTCTTTAGGCTTTAGGGTCTGCGTGCCAGGGTGGGTTTGATTCATATCGGGAGATGATCCTGACCTGGAACTGACAGAACCTCCACCTGATGTTGGTAATATCTTGTTCTCTCGTATTGAGCAGCAACATGTACTATTTAGGGTTTGAGGGTGTATATATAAAGGAGGAGGGCTGGGGATTTTTCAAGGGCGCAACATAGAGTGTAGGAGTGAGTGAGATGGAGGCATAACGTGAGATGTAAGCAAGAAAAGCTGAGTTGAAGCTTCGAAAATGGAGAAAATCAAGGAGAGAGAGGGCCTCACAGCTCACTTTTTGCTTCGCAGCACCATATATAGGCCCGAGGCTGAGGCGGGCCCCAGCTAGCTCCAAATCAAAAGCCCCCAAAACCCCAAATTCTTTTATAAAAACAAAAATTTTAAAAACGAAAATTCTTTTATATAAAGTATCAACTATTCATCTAACTGAAAAAAGTTATCTATGTATGTTGATACCAAAAATATGATTATTTATGGATACCCCTTGATGGTTACTGAACATGGATTCCCCTTAAAGAGCATCTTCTACCTTCTCCCTCGCATCATCACATGAAGCAGGAGAATAATTTGGTTTGCATATGCATGTCGGTGTTTGTCTGTGTTCATGTTGTAATACAGGAATGAATTTTCCGTTCATGATAAGTTTCTTCACAATTAAAAAGCAAAGAATAATATATAAAGGCTTCCTTTGTTTTGGAGGTGATGGGGGATAGGGAGGAGCAGAAGAAAAGGAATCTGATAGCCCTCACATGCCCCTGCACGTAGTCACATACATATGTAATTGCAATTCTTGAACAAGGAAAAACGTTGCTGACATATGTTGACATATTTTTAGGCTTCTGTAAGTGCAGAGACTTGTTAACAGTTTTCACTTTTCAAATATGACAGCAGCAAGACTTAAACAGTAATGATTTCTTGTATGATAGGTTGCACAGGGTGCTAAGCTCAGGGGAGCATCTCAAATAATTGGTGTTGACACTAATCCTGAAAAGGGTGAAAATGGTAATTTTATTTTTTTTTCCCCCTTTTCTATCTGGAGTTCTATGGTACAAGTCCCTAATGTATTTGTTGGCAAATAAGTGCTCTTATCTGTACAGAAAAAGCTTTTGGAATTACAGCACTTATCAACCCTCATGACAGCAAAGATCCTATTCAACAGGTAATGTTGAAATAAACAGAAATAACCATACTCCCCCGCCCCCCTCCCCCCTCCCAAGTGAAATTTATTATGAAAGAAATAAAGCTAACTTATAATGCAACAGTGATATGTGTAAGGAACCCTGATGAATGAACTTGAAGTCATTTAGTTTGAAATTTACATATAAGCTAACTTTCTTTCAGGTTATTAAGAATCTGACAGGTGGAGGGGCTGATTACTCATTTGAATGTATAGGTGACACTGGAATGGTAACTACTACTTTGCAGGCATGTTGCGATATAAATTTCTCATACCTCAGTGTTTTTCTTTTTCCCCTAAGCCTATCTCATATTTATTTTTGTGTATGTGATGAGTTCTTATTTATTGAACTTCACTCATTTGTATCTGGCGTTTCTTTGAAGGGATGGGGGTTGACAGTTACACTTGGTGTGCCAAAAGTGAAGCCGGAGGTAACAGCTCATTATGGAATATTTCTTACTGGAAGAACATTGAAGGGATCTCTATTTGGAGAATGGAAACCTAAATCTGATCTCCCTTCATTAGTAGATATGTACACAAAAAAGGTAAAACTAACTAAAACTTCATTGAAGCATCAGTAAGTCCAATCTCCCTTCTAATATTAAGTGTCCTTTTGCCTCCCATTGTTGTAAAATTTAATGTGTCCTCATGTAGCTGGAAAATCTACTGACAATGTTTAGTCCTGGTTACAAGAATGCGATAGGGCATGCCTAAACAATTTATTATGTCTTAGTTTGATAAATGTCTTATGTACAAACTTATCAAATCATCTTGTTTGAAGTAGTAGGGTTATAATCTGAATTTCGCTTAGTATTATAAACCATCTAGAACAAGTTCCTCCTAATCCTTCTCACTGTTATCTCATGGCCAGTCCTCGTATGTTAATGGTGGTCATAAAAATTTTCATAGCAACAAGGGAAAGGGCAGGTTTAATCAAGGTCAGCGACCATTTAATCCGAGACCACAGTTTTATACTCAAACCCATGTGTTGCCCACACCAACTCCAGGTGTTCTTGGTCAATTTCCCACTTCTCAGTATACATCTCCATCAGCCCCACTTTTTCCTACTTGTCAATTGTGCAACAGTGAAGGTCACACTGCTCCATTCTGTGGGTCTAATCCTCCTGCGAGGTCCAAGTGTCATATTTGTGGTAAAACAAATCACACCACATGGTACTGCTTTTATAATGATAACGGTCCGAACTTTATTGGTGTTGGAGGTTTTTCCCAGGCTCCTCGGATGCCTTCTTCCTCACTTGGATATTCTTCAGCTCAATCTCATCACTCTCAACAATCCCCAATGCAAGCTATGCATACTGTTATGCAACCATCTCAGCCACCCTCATCTCAGGGTCTACCTCAAGTATGGCTTACTGATTCTGGGGCAACCAATCACATGACTGCAGACTTATCCACTTTATCTTTGGCTACACCTTATCCCACAAATGAAACAGTTCAAACTGCTAATGGTGAAGGTTTGTCGGTATCATGTGTTGGTAACTCTGTTATTCCTACACGAGTCAAGCCAATCAACTTGAATTCAGTTCTATATGTTCCAAAGTTGACTCAAAATTTGTTGTCTGTGCATCGGCTTTGTTTGGACAACAACTGTTGGTTAATTTTTGATGCTTTTTGTTTTTGGATTCAGGACAAAGCCACAGGGAGGATTCTTTACAAAGGGCTGTGCAGTAATGGACTTTATCCCATTCCTCTTGCATCTTCTCATTCTGTTCTCACAACCACCAAACTTCAACCTCGAGCATATCTTGGTCAGCTAGTCCTCTCTTCTACTTGGCATCATAGACTAGGTCATCCTACAAATAAAATTGTTACATTGATGTTACAAAAGGCACATGTACAATGTAAACCCATTTCTTCAGCTGTCATGTGTCATAGTTGTCTTCAGGGCAAGTTTTGTAAACTTCCCTTTTCCCACTGTGTCCACAAGTTTGTCAAACCTTTTCATATCATCCATAGTGACCTTTGGGGTCCCTCTCCTTGTATTTCCGTTGATGGATACAGGTATTATGTGATTTTTGTGGATGAATGTACACGGTATTGTTGGCTTTTTCCCCTAATCAATAAAAGTGACGTGTATTCTGTATTTGTTACCTTCTACAAATATGTTCAAACTCAATTTTCAACTTCGATTCAGATTCTTCAGAGGGGGGGGAGGGGGGGGGAGAGTATGTTAGCAAACAGTTTCAAGCTTTTCTTGCTGATAAGGGTATCATTCATCAAAAGTCATGTCCATACACACCTGAACAAAATGGGCTCGCTGAACGAAAACATAGACATCTTATCGAAACTACCATCACCTTATTACAACATGCCACCCTACCATCTTCTTTTTGGACTTATGCTGTCCAAACTGCATCCTACTTGATTAATAGAATGCCTACATCCATCTTACATGATAAATCTCCCTTTGAAGTTTTGTTTGGAAATATTCTAGCCATTTCTCATCTACGAATATTTGGTTGTGCCTGTTATCCCTTGTTAAAACCTTATCTCACCCACAAACTTCAACCAAAAACCATTAAGTGTGTCTTTTTGGGATATGCTTCTCAGTATAAAGGCTATATCTGTTATGATGTGTCTGGGAAACGTATATATATATATATCTAGACATGTTGTTTTTGATGAACATGATTTTCCATATGTAGACTTAGTGCCACATTCAAAGGTTATTTTTCAATCTCTTCCTCTGCCACGTCCATCTCCTCCTTTACCTGTTGTCACCACTAACAATCTTATTGCATTGCCTACCTCTCATGACACTACTGCATCAGATGCTTTCATTTCACCTAGCAATACTCCTGCTTCATCCTCTTTACCATCACCTCTGTCCATTACTGGTGCATCTCCATCTTTATCATCAATCCCTGTGGTACCTGAGTCCAATGCTGGAGCCCTGTCAACTGACACTTTACCATTGGCTGATTCTTTTCAACCTGACTCCATGCAAATAGTTCTTGAGGTTCCTCCTATGAATCTGCATCCCATGCAAACTCGAAGTAAAAGTGGCATTGTGAAGAAGAAGGTTTTTCTAACAACTCTACAGGAGTCTGGGGGTGTTGATTTATCCTTAGTTGAGCCTGCCGCTTACAAGTCAGCTTTAAAAGTGCCCGTTTGGTTGACTGTTATGAAAGAGGAAGTCGATGCTCTTCATTCTCAGGGGACCTGGAGTTTGGTGCCATTACCTCCTAACAAGAATCTGGTGGGATGTAAGTGGATTTTTAAGATAAAAAAACATGCAGATGGGTCTATTGCACGACATAAGGCGCGATTGGTTGCTAAAGGGTTCAGTCAAGAACCAGGTCAAGATTATGGGGAAACTTTCAGTCCTGTCGTTAAACCAACTACAGTGCGGATTGTCTTAGCTCTTGCTGCCCATTTTGGTTGGCCGTTACGCCAACTCGATGTCAAGAATGCTTTTTTGCATGGTATTCTCCAAGAAGAGGTGTACATGGCTCAACCTCCTGGATTTGGGGATTCTCATCATCCAACTTTGGTTTGTGTTGAGGCCCAAATAAATTCTCGGCCCAATGCGATGCTTTACCAAGAAGAAACCCGATTTGGGCACGCGAAAGTTCATCATATGCGCTTGCACACATGCCACGCCAAGCGACACGCCACGCCAAGCAAGGAATTATTATTCCGCACCTAATCACGCCACAAGCTTAAATGGGCCCAAGCCACGCAAGATGCCTGGGGCTTACTTGAGTGGGTTGTGGTATGGATGGTAATAAATTGTCATGAGGCCCATTGATGGGTCGAGAAATGGAAGTCCCGGGTTGCTTGGGAGCCTCGGGACTCAAGCCCATTTCATAGGTCAAAACATGTGGGTAAGCACAAGAGAGAAAAGTAGCCCAAAAGCCCAAGCAAAATAACCTAACCAAGAAATAACCCAACCAAAAAAAATAAGCCCAATCAAGAGGCCCAATGTTTCACAAAAAGCCCATTTGCTTAGGAAACCACCTTGGCCCTTATAAAATCCCAAAATAGCCCACAAAAGCTTCAGCTCTTTTGAAAAACAGAAAACACGTGAAGGAGGTTGGCAAACTCATCAAGCAAAGCTGTTAGGAGCAAGTTCTAAGCCAGAGACGCCCAAAGAACCAAGGAATGCTGGCCTGCACGCTGTCAAAAGCACCCTTTGGACCAGCATATATTTTCACTTCTTTTCCTTCATCAGATTTAGCCAAGGCAGGGGGAAGGAAAGAAGAAAAAACAGTAACCAAGAAAGGAAGCTCCCACTGCGCAGCTGCGGGAAAAGGGGACATTGAGCTCCCAAATCTCCTGAATTCGAGCAAATAAACATAGGCAATTTTTGCCAAGATAGGGAAGTCAGATAAGAGGAGGAGAAAGAAGGAAAAAGCTTAGCCAAAATAAGTAGAAGCCATTAGGGTTTCTTGAAGAATGGTGATTTCCAGCGGCTATAAATTAAGGCCTTTTCTACCCAACGGAAGCAACCCACATCTAGAGAGCAAGCTTCATCTCTCACCATGAAATCTCTGCAATTTCGTGCCCTAATCCTCCATCTACTCCCACTTTCCATTCTGCCATGCCATTCTAGAGTCTGACATAACTTTTGTCAGGCTGCTGGAAACTTACCCAAACCACCAAACACTTCACCATTAGCCACAACTCAGACCCAAAGAGCAAACTTTCTCTCTAACTTACAAAAACCCAGCAATCTCGTGCACTGTTCATCTTCTTCTCCATTTTGCTCTTCTGGCAGCTGCCGGAAGAACTCTGCTCTTCATTTTCCCTTTCCTAGCCAAATCTCTTACAAAACTTCTCCTTCCTTTTTCCCTCAAAGCAAGCCTAAATTTTCTCTTAATGCTAAACTCATGTTGATTTTGCTCCCATGCCACATGCCACTCACGCTGAGCTTGAGAGTTTATCTGTAAGCATGAAGAAATTACCTGTAAGCTGCCATTATTTTGATTGGTGAAGGTAACCAAAATACTTCCTAAGGCTCTACTGCCCTTTCGAGGTATTTTGGGGCTTAATTTTCGAACTCAGACATAAGGGACGATTTCTTCAGTTTCCTCCTTACGGCAGCCCAGCCCATTTGTAGCTGCCGGAAGAAAAAAGCCCCTACAGTTTGCAAACTTCATAAATCTTTATATGGGTTAAAACAGGCTCCCCGAGCCTGGAATGACAGGTTCACTTCCTTTTTACCTACATTGGGGTTTCAACATACATACTCTGACTCCTCTCTATTTGTGAAACAAGTGGATTCTGGCATTGTCATCTTATTGGTATATGTGGATGATATCATAATTACTGGCAGTGCTATCAATGAAATTCACAAGGTTATTCATTCTCTCACAGTTGATTTTGAGCTCAAAGACTTAGTAGATTTGCATTATTTTTTGGGAATCCAAATTTCTCGTACCGACTCTGGATTGTTTTTGTCACAGTCTAAGTATGTCCAAGATCTCCTTGTCGAAATTGAAATGACTGAAGCCAAAGCGTGTGATACTCCTTGCCTTCCTTATCACCGATTGCTCAAAGATGATGGTCAGCCTTATGGGAACCCCACCTTGTATCGCAGTATTGTCGGAGCTTTGCAGTATCTGACTTTCACCCGACCTGATATTGCATTTTCTGTGCATCAGGTTTGTCAATTTATGCAAAATCCAATGGTGTCACATTTCACAGCCGTCAAGCGGATTCTTCGGTACTTGAAGGGTACAATGCACTTCGGCCTTAGCTATACTCGGGGAAACTTGAACTTAACAGCATTTAGTGATGCTGACTGGGCAGGAGATCCAAATGATCGGCGGTCCACTACCGGTTTGGTTGTGTTTCTTGGTTCCAATCCTGTGTCTTGGTCCTCTAAGAAGCAACAGACTGTTTCTCGATCTTCCACTGAGGCTGAATATCATGCTTTGTCAACTACTTCTGCAGAACTTGACTGGATCAAACAATTACTGGTGTTTTTGCAGGTTCCCATTGCTCAGCAACCGGTGCTTTTTTGTGATAACCTATCCGCAATTGCTTTATCCTTCAATCCCGTTCAGCATCAGAGGACCAAACATATTGAGATCGATGTTCATTTTGTTCGGGAACGAGTGGCCAAACAACAGCTCTTTGTGCAGTTTGTGTCTTCTAGAGAGCAATTTGCCGATATATTCACCAAAGGCTTAAGTGCTCCTCTCTTCCATACTCATTGTCACAATCTCATGCTTGGTTTATCCCAGCGTGAGATTGAGGGGGGATGTTAGAGTAGGATTGTGACACTTGGCATAAGATTAGAAGATGTGATAGTTAGTTAGTTAAGATGGCTGTGTATAAGTAGTGTATTCTGATTTACCTGTTCATTAAGAAAGAAAGTTCATTTTTCTGTGCTCTCTCTCTCTCTATTCCAGATATCTCATTCTCTCTCTCTAGAAATTGTTCTTCATAGTTCTTCTTTTGATATTGGTTAACATGGTATCAGAGTTCTCACTGTTATTTCACTGTTACTTGTTATATTTTTCAGTCCACAAAATAAAATGCACAGTCTGTTTGAATTCCTAAAAATCTACCTGCAGGAAATCCAAGCCGACGAGTACATAACACATAACCCGCCATTTGAAGATGTCAACAAAGCTTTCAATCTCATGAGAGAAGGGAAGTGTTTGCGTTGTGTTATCCACATGGCAAAGTAATTTCTCTTCTTCTGTCATATTGAAGTTGCTTTGCTTGGATACACGCGAGAGAGTTAATTTTATAATATTGTTCTGATAAAATAAAGTAGGTTTCATCTGAATTCTGAAAGTAGGTATTTATGGAGTAGGATTATCTGTGGGCAATCTACTGGAAAGCTCAAGCCTATCTCACATAACCCGCCGTATTACTTGTTTGTTACTATGTTAAAAAAATTCTTAAAGTACTTATGGGCATGTACACTAGCATTCTATGGGATTTGAGAAGACAGTTTTAATTCAATCTTCTTGGTCCATACGTGCAGCGTGTTTGATGGGTGAACAAAACCCATATGGTTTGAAGTATCAAATTAACCCGAGAGAGAGATTCCTTTCCCCTTTTTTTGTTAGGTACAAGCGATAGTCTAAATTAGAGGATAGGGAGATTTCTCACAGATACCCACACACAACGATGCCATGGGGGTTGGAACCTGTGACTTATGATCTGCAAGTCAAGACCTTTTTCTACTGAGCTAGACCTCGTTGGTGTTTATGGTGTAAAATGACTACCACACCCTTGGAAATGGTGACATGTGCCAAACATTGATAGACTTTTTAGTACCTGCGCAAACAGGGTTAAAACTCCTACAAAACTTGCAAGAATGACAAGGTTATTGTAGTATAAATGATTATCGCAAGGGATTATTAAATAACTCGTAGCAACCAAATTCTAATTAATTATTGCAAAAGAGAAAATTGAGATGTTTGATTTGAAGACCTTAAATTAAAAGGAATTTAACTAATAAAAATAAGGCAATATGCAAAATTAAAGTTAAGAGCAAGAGAAACAGTTGTGGTTTTAGAAATCAAATTAAGAAAGCACTAGGAATCCGCCGTCACCTTAACAATTCTATATAGTTCCCCCAATTACTTATGACCTATACATGCATATTTCGAAGGTTAGGTATTCCTAATATATGCCTACTTGGACCCCTAACATAGAGCGTATATCACACATGCAATCCGTCTGTGGTATTCAGATCAAATCTAAACATACATGACTCATTAAGTTCTGTGAAACCTTTTGAAAAACCATGCAACCCTTAAGACGTGGTATTCATCCTAAGTGAACTTGCACATTTTAATCACAAGAAGCCTTCGTCAATTTCAGGGACCGACCTCCGACCAAAACTGCATCAAATTACTTTTCTAAACATCCTAATGGTGATCAAGCATCAAGACACTTAGATAGTTTAACCCAGTGATGAATAATTCAAAAACCTGCATGCATATAATCATAAGCAAATTTGATAGAAACTACATATTCTTGCTAAGGCTCGTGGCCTCACCCTAGCAAAAGAGAGTTAGTTACGCATGTTCACAATTGAAATCCAAGAAAATATCATTAAGAAGAATAAGAATGAAAACACCTGAAAGTCGCGAAAATCCAAAACCCTAGCAATTGCTCCAAAAGCCAAAAAAAAGTAAAAAGGGAGTCCCTAAATTGCTGTGAAAAGGAGTTTAAATACCTCCTAAAACCTAGCTACCCAATCCCCACAAGGAAACTAAGTTAAAATAAAATAAGACTAGGAAATAAAGTCCAAATTGGATTAGGAGAATCTGCCCACAATCTGCCCAGCCACGTTTTAGTCTCAAATCTCCTCCAAATCTGGCCCAAGATAGCTCGTTTTAAAGATAAAAATATTCTGAACACTTCTCCAGAAGGCCATGAACCCATCCGAGGTCATCTTGGGCTCCAAAAACGTAATACAAGCCCAAAACGTCACTATTCCAGCACTGCACATCGCTCCTTTATTTTATCGCCAGAAAATAACCGCTTGGTAGAAAAGTCTTAAATTTTGATACGATCAAGCCAAGTGACTCACGAACGTCCTCCAACTGGAATTACTCCAAAATTCGTCCATTTGATTATGTTTTGCTCCAGAGGGAGTCGAAAGTCCTATATTGGAAATATAATTCAAAGTATCAAAATTCTTCCAAAATATTAACCAAAATATACTAAGAATGGGGTTAAATATATAATATAAAATCGACTCATCAAAACACATGATTTCTTTTTATGGAAAAACTAAGAGATGAAGGCAAATAACATTTTTTTTCTTCAAATGTTATGTTTTAATGTTTTTAAGTTAATTCAATTTTTCATTAATTTCAAAAAGGTTTATAGGTTTTTAAAAGACAAAAAAAAAGGTGTACAATGTTTATTTAACAGTAAACTTAACGGATTTGACCATATGGACTAACAGTGCTAAACATGGAACTAAATTGGCTAAATTGAAAACACATGGACTAAAAAAATAAAAAAATAAAAGTTCAGAAGGGGAATGCTATTTCTTTTGAGAAAAAATAAAATAAAATAAAGACATGGGTTCAAATTCAATATCTCTCTTATTCAATTTTTAAGTGTTTGCTTTTGCTAGCTAACTATTGGAATTTCGCAGGAGCACGTTAAGTTGCAAGTGTCTCAAAACTAGAGCTTTTATAACAGACAAGGAAATGTGGTAGTTCAAGTATGTGTTAAGTGTATGCTTCTTTCTTATTTTAACTTAACTGAACTGCCATACCATATCACATGTATGATAATGATATACGGTACCTGGCGTTGTATTTGTTGTTGTGAGTAGGTGAGGATGGTGATCAGTTCAAACCTTTTCGGTTTTTCTCCCAAAAAGGTCCTATCCTAATCCTAGGAAGGAAGCAAAACACATACGCAGATGCCATTAGGAAGGAAACGTTAATTCAAAACTTCAAAATGCTATTGAAGAGGCAGGTTCTAGAGCTCTTAAGCAAAGGCTATATCAAAAAAATTTCAAAAAGAATCTAGTATAGCCGGACGGCGATACTATATATGTATGTATACAAACCTGCCCAGCGCTTTGCAGGCATGTTTTTCCTGAAACAGGAAAAAAAAGGTCATTGTCTTCCTATAAGAAGAAAATCTCTCTTTTTTATTATGCAAGAGAAAAAAGATTGTAGTTATCTAAAGAAAATGGTAATTTGAAACAAAAGAAAAAAAAATCGATAGTTTTCTCAAATCCAAGAAAATACAAACTGAAAACAACATGAAATAAAAAATTTTAAAAAGGATGATGCAAATTCTGGAACGGAAACCAGATGTGAAAGAACTTCAATGAATAGTGCTTTAATACTGGAAGTGAAACAAAAAGATGAATGATTTTTGTTAGGCTTAAATGGTCATTTCGTACGTTAAAAATAAATAAAGATTGAAAAATAAAATTAAAAACTGAAAATTGAAATAATACTCTCAGAGAGAGAGAGAGAGAGAGATCAGAGGGTGGTGACAGAGAGATTAGAGGGGGAGAATGGGGGAGATGGAAAAGGAAGAAGAGGAGGAGGAGGAGAAGGAGGGGGGCTGGGGGAGGAAGGGAGGAGACAGAAGGGGGAAGGAGGACTGGGTTCTTCAGGTTGGAGGGGAGGGAAGGTTGGCGCTAGGTTTACTCTTTTTCTTCAATTTTTTTCAAAAATATAATTTTTAAATGATTTAACCAAAAATTGGACAAAATGTTGAGGATTTAGATGGTATGAGGGAAATTGGCCAAAAAAAGTAGTTCATATCCTTAATTTTCTATTTAAAAAAAAGGGTTTGTCCAATATAGACCCATACATTTTCTATTTCCTAGACATATACCCATCACTCTATAAATCTTTGGGTAAAACCCAATTTCAAATTTAAATGACCAGTAGGATATAAGAGGTCGTAGTATTTCTATGTTTTTACATCGTTGCCACTAAACTTCATATTTTATTTATAATTTTATTTCAAGTATTTTATTAACTGCCATAATTGTAATTAATATACTCCCTATTAATAGCATATCAATCACCCCATTTCTTTTAGTTGTCATTCCCTCTCACATCTCGCCCACTAAAATTGCAAACAAACAAAAAAATCTGTAAATTACATATCCAATATTGTACCTATGAAAAATATAATATAAATATATACATATAAAATATAGGTATATTATTTACCAAAAAAAAAACAAAGTCAGTTACTTTGTAATTGCATATATTTTTCATAATTAAAAATAGGTACACAATAATTTATATTAAATATAGGTACATTATTTACCCACATGTAAATTATTTTACAATATACCTGTAAATGTGTATAGGTACATTATTTGGAGAGGAAAAATAGGTACGTTATTTGGAGAGAGAAAATAGGTTCATTTAAAAAAATTGCTTTTAATAAAACAAATAATAGGTACTTTATTCAGAGAAAAAAAGGCTATATTATTTATAGAAAAAAATAGGTACATTAATTAGATAAATAATAGGTACTTTATTCGTAGTAGGTATATTATTCAAATGGTAGGTACATTGGATGACATATAATACCTAAATCCTAATTGTAAGTACATTAAAATTAATGTAGGTATATTGGATGTCGTATAATGTAGGTATATTGGAATAGATAATTATGTACACTTTTCATACTAGGTAAATTATATTTTTCATAAAACAAACAAGTAATAGGTACATTATTTTTTCAACATAATCAGTATGTACAGTTTTATTCATAAACAATTATAAAGTGGATTATTAGTCATGTATAATTCATAAAAAGAAAATAATATAAACATTTTATTAAACAAACCGATTACCCAAATTTGAATTTATTGTTAAATTTTTTAAAAAATGTTTCAAAATTAATTCTTACATCCATTACAACCATTTGGAGATATTTCCAAATTCAACATCTGTCATTATATACAATCCAATTAAAAACTATTTCCATATTGATTCCTACATTGATATACAAAATGCAATAATGGCTTAGTTGGGGGTATTTTTGGAATATGAAAAGTACAATAAATCAGATTTTATGCTTAATTAGGTAATTTGCTGAGTTAGATCCTAGTCATGGGTTTTTACTTATACAAATTGGATATTATTTATAGGAACAAAAAGTGAAGGGTTTTAGGTACGACAAATTGAATTTGAAGGGTGTAAGCCAAATTTACTATAAAAAAATATATAAAAAAGGATATGGGGTAAATCAAAAGTTAGGTACAAGTTCATGGAGCAAGTCACCAGTTAGGCCTTCTTTTTAACAAAAGAAATCAAACCCAAAAAACCACAATGCTCAACATCTAACCCATAAAAAATATGGATAACCATCATCAAAACATCTCAATATTTAGCAAAAAAAAATTGAATATTTTATTTTCAAAGAGAGCCAAGTAATCCAGAACAGAGAAATCAGTTTTTATATATAAAACAACCAGAAGAGAGAAGAGAGGAAAGAAGAAGAGAAAGGAGAGATGAGAGAGGGGAGTGGACAGAAGAGAGAAAAGCACTTCAAAGCAGGCTGAGGTAAATGACGCGAAGCATTATGAGGGACACGATGCGAAACTTGCTGAGGAAGACGACACAAGAGAAGAGAAGACAATAGTTGGTTTCCACATTAGTCTTCGAAACCCATGTCTTGAAAGCCTATGTATACTAGACCGTTATCCCCAAAAAAAAAAATGAATCCTAACCAGTTCATGATCCACTTAAGCCCACCAAACAATGGACTGGAATCATATCCATTTTAATTGGATATATCCAATCCAGTCCAGTCCACCAAACATGGCCTAAGAGTGGGTGGGTTAGACATGGGGTTGCCAAACGGGTGGTGGGTGGTTGTTAAGAAGAAAGAGAGAAGGGTGGCGGTGGCTGCATGGTGGTGTCTTTCCCTTTATTTATTTATTTAGTTCTTATCTTATGTTTTATTTTTAAACTGTATTGAAACAGTTATGTTTTTTTAAAATTAATATTTAAATAGTTTTTGAGTTATTCTAACAGAAAATTAACGAAATGGGTAACATTGGCTAACGATTCTAAACACAAGGATCAAATTGGCCAAATTGAAAACACAAGGGTCAAATTGGCCAAATTGAAAACACATGGACTACATTGACAAATATGGTAAAACACAGAGACCATTTTTGCATTTAAGCCCAAAGAAAAAACCCCAAGTTAATATTGAATCTAAATTTTCTATAAAAAAAATCTCAATAATGTTGGATTTGGACCATCTCTTTTGCCAGGGCTTACAAGTTAGACGAGGAGGCCCAGTCTGGTGGGGTTTTTGTGATTTTGGATTTGAACTGGGCCTTACTCTGCAATCCTTTTTCTTGCTCGAACAATTCTGAATTCTAATAAAACAAACAAAATAGAACAAAAACCGTTCCTATAAATTGATTCATTTGGCAGTTTTTCCGCTCTCCGCGCACCAATGGCTGAAGGTTTGAAGGACGACGCCAAACCCCATCTAATCTTCACCTACGGCACACTCAAACAAGGCTTCCACAACCACAAGCTAACGCAGGACCTTATCAATCATGACGACGCCGTTTTGTTAGGCCCCTACATCACCCGCCATTCTTACCCGCTCGTCTGTGGACCCTACGGAATCCCCTACCTGATCAACCTCCCAGGGTCCGGTCACCGGGTCAAGGGCGAGCTCTACTCCGTGTCGACCCGAGGACTCGCTCGACTCGACGAATTGGAGGGCACGAGCATCGGGCACTACGAGCGGCTACCTGTTGATGTGATGAATGCCGACGACGACGTCGTTTCGGTGGAGGCTCAGGCGTATTACGCGCACAGAAGCTTTGGGCCTGCGATGTGGGAGAGAAATGGGAAGGCGGGTTTGAGTGAGTTCACGGAGAAGGAGGCCAAAGGGTACGTGAAAAGAAAAGATAGGCCTTGCCAGGGTCGCGCCATTCTTGAGGACGTCCGGCATTTTGTGTCCGGAATGTGAGGAAAAAGGCAGTTTGGGAAAGGTCAATGTTTTCTTGCTCTGTTACATTAAGTACGTAATCTTTGATTAATTTTAAACTTGTTGATTATGAATTCTTATTGTTTAGCAAGAGAGGCTCTGTGTTAGTTGAATTGCTCATTTATCTTTCTTTTTTTCTTTTTTTTTCTTTTTTTTTCTTTTTTTTCTTTTTTTTTCTTTTTATCAATTCAGGTTTCAATTTTTATTTGTATTATTTTTGAATTAGAGAATTCAAGTGTGTTTAAGTGCAAAAAACCACTCAAATTATATTTTGTTAATCTGCATAAGTAGGCCTAGCTAGGCAACCAATCTTAGTCTGAACCAAATAATCAGAACTTGCATTAGGCCAATTGCACTCATAAACTAGGTGTCCACTTTTGTGAATCAAATTTCCATAGAGGATATGGCAGTTCTGAAGCCAATGGCAATGTGTTAGAATTTTCACCAATCTTCATTTTCATTAGGGTTCTAGGCTGCAGAAGCAATTGCCTGTAAATAAGTTGTCTTTCACCCAGGCGACATAACCAGCCTACCGCATTGAAGGAAAGATAGGCCAGATATACCTCATTTGAGTCTTCAACTTTCTAGACACCTAGTTTTGTGTTGCCAAGATTGGTATGTGAGTTGCTTGTAGTGTTGCGGGCTAATTTGGTGAGGAACTCTGGTGGAGGAGAGAGGCTCGGAAGGTTTGTTCCTGTACGCAATTTCTAGTGCTTTTGACAGTGGCTTTTGAGAGTGCAGAAGGCTCAATGAACTTGTTAAATGCATTGCACTCTCTCCTTTGTTCCCCCATGTACGAGTCTTATGTTTCCTCCGTTTTATGTTCTTAAAGTTGCACCCTTTGTACATTTTGCTTTGCTGGAGCTATCTATCTTTGACACCTCTGAATAGATTTTTATTTAGTTTCATCAGAAAAAGAAGATTTTAATCGAGCATCACCGATGATGATTGCTATTCTTCAGTGCCTCATCAGTCCTTAGTAGAGATTAGTGTCTTTGGTGCATCAGGTAGTAGTAGTTGTCGTGGAGTAAGAACTGTGTCTGAAAGGCTAAAAATGCACAAAGCAGAATAAAACACACAATTTTTAATTTTGGATGAGTAAAACAAACAATACCAATACCATTAAGGGCTAAAAACGCACAGCAGAGTACAACATGCATTTCATAATGCAGCAATTGCTAATCGTAGTACATGAGGAAGCAAGCTTCTACCGGCCCTTTATTTTTATCTGTAATTCATGCATCCCATATTTTACAGAACCATACTAAATGAGTTGCCAAAGCAAACTACAGCCACCTTTTGTGGTTACATATGATCCTCTAGGGGCCAGCTTTCTACCAACAATAGCACCTAGTGGTTACATCTGCACTTTCTCAACAGCCTTCAGGCATCAGTCACACAGGTGCAACCATTAGAACATTCAGAGAAGCCCTTGCCAGCATCAGGCCCTTCAACCTTGGAGATGACACATTTCCAGCCTTCACCGCACTCGCAGTATGCTTCGCTTGCACCAACTTTTTCTACCTCCTGCGGCACAACGTCATTAGTCACCGTCCCATCTGCATATCTGTAGAAAGAACTGGGCATTAGTCTCAATTCACTTTGTAGTTCGTACATGCGAAACTCAGCAAACAAGCAATTGGTGAAGGTGATGCTTGTTACTAACTTAGACTGGTTTATTTGTGTGCTGATTGACGTACATAACACAGGTGCAATTGTCACCGCAGTTGAAGAAGGCCTTGCCCGCATCTGGTCCTTCGGTCCTAGTGATGACACATTTCCACCCTTCGCCACACCTACAAAATGCCTTGCTGATGCTAGAGTTGCCTCCGGCTGCTGCAACAGACCTGCACAAATTTGAGGCAGTTAATTTAAGTATGATCAATGGAATTGAGTGGCACAGTGCATCTAAAACAACCATTGAATTGTCAGTACAACATAAACACAACTTTAGCATCTTCTTCTTCCCTTATTATTCATGTAGTGAGAGGAATGAAACCTGACTGATTGCTCGCCACTGCTCTGAGCCTCCATTTTCCTGAATTTGTTGGACTTCTTTGATCTTCTTGTTCGTCTTGATGAGCTATGGACCTTTCTTTGTAAGGCCAGTCGAAATGTCAAGAAACCATTGATTGTGGAGACAAAACAATTTTGTTTGTGGGGATACAACTGTTGATACACATGAAATTGTCATCTTCCTACAATAATTGAGTGCCGAATTTGTGTGGCTCATAATTGATTTTTTTATTTAATGTAGATAGAGATAAGGAAATGGAGATTTTTAAAAAGGATGCAAATCTGTTCACCACTTTTAACCATTGTTACTGTTCCATTAATTTCCCAATCCCCTTTCGCCCTAGTCCAGCTATCAATACCCATCAGTAGTTCGAACAGGGTTAAGTTTGTAGGAGAGAAAAAAATTAGGGCTGCAAAAATTTCTCAATCCTTCACCAATACGATCTATCCAATTACAATAGGTCAAAGCTATCGGAACAAATTGTGGAAGCCTGTGAAGAGTATGGCTTCTTTAAGGTAGTGAACCATGGCGTCCCAAAAGATATCATTGAGAGAATGGAAGCACAAGGGTCTGGTTTTTTTGGTCAAACCCACCATGGAGAAGCAACGAGCTGGCCTGGCTTGTCCTTTTCGTTATGGGAGAGCTTGAATACCTTCTCCTTCATAAAAAATTTGCAGCCCTCTAATTTCCCAATTTTGCTTCCCTAATTTTTTACTCCTACAAACTTAAACCATATCGATCTATTGAGGGGTTTTGACTGGGCTCTGGTGAAAGGGCGATCATGACCTGCACACACGCAACATCCAATTGGACTTGAACTGCTAATGACTTCAAGTGTGGTGACGAAATTGAGAATTTCGATAATCAAATTTGTTTTCAGGCCTAATCCCAGTAAGCACAAATGTGCAATGTATCAAATCATAGTTTTTAACCAAGGCTTAATACATAATTCATCTTATATAAAAATACTTAATTCATGAGGAGCTCATCAAAACTACCTAGAAAACAAGGTTTTCTTCCGTATAAAAAAAGGTCTTCTTCCAATTACAGTCTCTCACAAAGAAACAAACTCGCATAGTAAAATACATATAATATATCTATAACATATACGATTGTTGTTGGAAAATGATTTGGTTGGAGTCTCATGGTTTCCTGCATGATATGACAAAAGATTTTTGGCACGGCCTTTCAGTTTTGTGGTTGCCCGATGTATATCTTTTCTTCCAAACTAAAGATAATAGCTCTTACAAATGACCATAAACTGCAGAACATAAATCGCAGTTTTGATGTCAGAGGACTCTTTTCTTTGGATTCTATTGAAATTGAAATTGCGGATTTTGGGCCTTCGGAAGGTCGTTTTTCAATCAGAGGCCGTGGGCTCTTTCGAAGATTTCAAATGCTGCTGACTCTGCTACCTAGAAGCTAACTAGGAGGGAGGATCCCAGCATAGGCGTCCAATATAACAAACTTATTATTTTTCCTCAAAAAATAATAAAATAAAAACTTATTTTTCATACGTCAGAATGATGTGGAAGAAGGTTGCAACCAGCATAGGCGCCTAGAAGCATATGTTTTTTTTTGTTTTTTTTATTTTTAAAGTACAAGAGATAGTCTAAACTAGAGGAAATATAGATTTCTCACACACACACATATAAAATATGCAAGTCAAGGCCCTTTTTCACTAGGCTTAGACCCCTTTGGAGCCTATAAGCAGATGTTGGTTAGGGGTACTAATACCTAGAAGCAGATGTCGGTTAGTCAAGTTGATCAGGGCAGCGAGTTCGTCCTTTTGCACTCAAGTTTGAATCCCAACTCTCTATAAAGGGTTAGGTTAGTTGATCAGGACGGTGAGTTCGTCCCTTTTGCACTCAAGTTCAAATACCATCTCTATAAGTTAGAGTAATTTAGACTATCTATTGTACAAAAATCTAACTTGAGGGAGGATCCCAGCATAGGCGCCTAATAAAACTTATTATTTTTCATATATTAATTAATTATAGAAGATATATAGAAGATTTTGATGCGTCAGAATGATGTTGTAAGGTTGCAACCAGCCAACCAAACCACAAGAGCAACAAGCGTGAAGAATAAAAGGCTCTCTCCACTAGGGAAGCAAAGTGAGATGGATTGGTCCCATCTACAGTAAGAGGCTTAGGTAGAGAAGGTTGCCCTAGCGTCATAGCATGTGATTGCCCACTATATACCTACTAGTACTAACATGTGCGGCACAGCTTGTGTCATTGAAGCTTTAATTAGATAGAAATTGGAGCTCCTCTCAATGAGGTCTTCGATCTGAAGAACATGGGACGGCAATATGATCCTCATATGCTTTGTAAACCATTACATTCGGTCACTATTTTTCATCATTGTTGGTGGTTTTAATCTGCCAGCACTCAGCTAATGCACATTATACTTTAGCTTTAAAATCACATCAAAGTATATACACCGACAAAAATTGTCAAACAAAATTTCATGGAATAATCTATAGGAGTAGGGTTAGGAACACCAAATCTTTTCACCAAAAAACGGGGTAATGTTTGAATCCACTTCACATTATCTAGCGAATTTTCAATTAATTAATTTTGTCAACGGATTCAAGCCCAATGAAAAATGGCTTTGATTTGAAGACTAGTGGTGTAAGGTTCGAACCCCGATGGTCATGGCACCTTGATAGTGTGTGTGAGAAATCTCCCTCCCTATATAATTTACACTATCGTGTGTGTTTTAAAAATAAATACACATCTGGCGAATAGATTTGGTGACCTTAGTATTATGGCACGAAATATTGATAGTCTGAAAATTAAACGAATGGGAACGTGGCCCCAGCTCAAAACCTAGAACGCATAGTCGTCTCGTACTAATTTTTTGATCTACAGTAACCCCACAACGATAGAATGCAAGCTGTTGAGATTTTTTGTCTTCACTTTTCCCTCAATGAAAGTCGTATGCTAGTCAGTGCTGGTAGGTTTTTCTAACTTCCCAAAAGAATGCTTTCTTTGTTTCTTTCTATGGTATGCTAAGATTGGACGTACGTCGCATCGAAAAATGGCATGTACATGGTCATCATGTTAAAGTAATAACAATCTCATTGCTTGGTTGAACGGTGACCAAACGATGAAGACATGTGAGGGAGGAAGGACGAAATCATAACAGGCACTTGGGAAGGTGGTGGCTAGCCAGCTTGTGCACTGACATAATGGCAGTCATATAAATCTGAATCTTTCATCACTTTTAGCTTCCGCTCTCTACAATTGATCACCTTTTGGAACTTCTAGAATAAAACTAGCTAGGAGGCCATTTCAAGGTCCCCAGTGTTTGAATGATTAACATGCATATACATAATAACCAATCAACTGCTAAGATAATACTTAATTTAACCCACTCCACATTTATGATATAATGGTTTCATAGAGGCTTAAATAAATGGTTCAGATTATGGACTAGAATGTAGAGTGTGACCCGAAATACCTCCCCTCATTATTTTTTTGAATACAATTGATAGTTTAAATTACTCTAAATTATTCTAATCTACAGAGAGAGAGACTCAAACTTGGATGCAATCCGGCGAGCTCATGGCTCATACCAACTTGCCTTAACCTACATATGCATGCTCATTATTAATAAAGTTATTTTTGGGGTCCTTCCAATAAAGCGATTGTGATGGAGATTGAGAGTGAGTTAATAGGGGGAGTGTTTTTATGGATCAAGTATATTGGCTTTATTTTTCTAAATACATATGCGCAAATGTAAAGGCAAGATGTAAGTAATTTATAAAATAATTATGGTCATTAATTAAATAAGCATGTAGAACCATAGGCATCGAATTATTTGATTACCTCGCTACAAAGCTATAGAAGTCTTATGTTCTCTCTCTCTCTCTCTCTCTCTCTCTCTCTATATATATATATATATATACACACACAGAGCTTCCATTGAGGGATCCCTCAAATAAGCTTATTTGAGGGACACCCCTTGTAGGCCCCACTCCGGATTGTATTTCACTAATTCAAACAGTCTATTTTGTAGATACTCATTCAAAGATCATCTCTACAAAAAATCACTTAAATCTGATATCATTTGACCACTCAATTGAGTTATTAAAATTTTAGTACTTTCTTGAAGCACCGTGTTCATTGATTTTGTAAGACACAATTAGATGTCGAAACGGTTTCCGATTTGTCTAATTTTTTTTTATAAGGATGATCTATGAATGAAGACCTAAAAGATAGATTGGATCATTGGGAAAAAAAATTGTAGGGTACCTTAAAGGGCATCCTTCAAATAATTTTATTTGAGGGATTAACTTTCCTGTAAGTTTTTTTTTTTTTTTTTTTTTTTTTTTTTTTTTTTTTTTTTTTTTTAAAATCACATGATCCACCAAACCTTGATTTTTTAGGGGTATCCAATTGTGTCCTACAAAATCAATGAATACAGTACTTCAAGAAAGTACTAAAATTCTAATAATTCAATTGAGTGGTCAAACGGATTCAAATGATTTTTGTATAAATGATTTTTGAATGAATATCTACAAAATAGACGTTTGGATTAGTGAAATACAATACATAGTGGGTCCTACAAAGGTGTCCCTCAAATAAGCTTATTTGAAGAATCCCTCGTGTGTATATATATATATATATATATATATATATATATATAAAGTGTAATTGGAAGGTTTAAATAAGTGATAGGTCACAGTGGGAGTAGGGACCTCCCAATTAACTACAATTATATATTTATACGTGCAGGTCCATTTTAATGTAAATCCTGTCGCATACTCTATAGTCCATAACCATATCCTATATAATAAAGTATAGATAAGGTACATCAAGCCCATATATAAAAATATAACAGGCTAAATGGTCAACTCTAAGTGCAATTACTATTCCAATCACTTCAGTTTTTCACAAATACAAAATATAATAGCTGTACTGCAACCGAGTTCTTATGTTCGAATCTCCCATCTTCTAATATCAACTATATCAAAAGTATAACTAAAATACATCAAGCCCATAATGAGGACAATATAACAGATGAACCGATGAATTAACTCTAAACCCAAAATAGCATTACGGTTAGTTTGGTTTTAACAAAAATAAAACATAAAAGATTACGACCGTATATTGTTACCAAGGTAATATGATTGAAGCATAAATTTTATATTGTTCCCTTACTAGTAATAGAATCGTGTTTTCTGGTCAGAAATTATGGTATGTTTTAGGATTTCCGTTATAGAAGAGAAAAAGCTTTAGATTCAATTTGCCATGTTTTTTCTCAGTTCCTTTTCCTCTATGTTTTCTCTTCTATAACCTGCTCGATCTGTCTTTTTCCCATCAATGTATAGGTCACCACTGAGAAGCAAATCTAAATGCCAAGAATGAAAATGTAGCTTCTCATTATCTACTAATTATTCCTTTTAAAATCCGTATCCACTAATACTTTGAAAGAAGAATAAAAATAGCCTGAAACCAACACGTAGCAGCATGACGACCAAACACAAGTTGTCCTACATTCTATATCATCATGCCCCATGGATAAATTTGTTTTAGCATTCAACCTCTTTTTTTGGCTAACATTAGCAATCCATTATTTGAATATATATGGCTTTCTTTTTCTTTTTAATAAAAAATAACGCACAAAATGGCTTGATTGCGTAACGATATTATATCAATGTATACGTGGGAGACAGCAAAAGCACACTAAGGTAGTAAGTGAGTGTAGTTTTTACTGGACCGCCTTCTTTGGGACACCTCAAATTCTCTTCTGCATGTGCTTCAACCACCTTGTGCTCAGTCCACCTTTTCCCATTCCTTTATATACCTTCACCTCTCTTGCATTCTACTTCATTGTTGTGGATTCAACTGCATTACTTCAATGACTATTCAAAACACTCACAGTTTTGTCTTCTTTGTGTTATTGGGTATAGGGATATGTTCTGCAGCCAGAACACTCCTACATTCTGAAGAGCCCGTCCATGTTCCTGCTGTCGGCTATGGCGCAAGCCATGGCGGCGGTGGCGGCGGTGGCGGTGGTGGATCAGGGTATGGAGGTGGTGGTTCTGCGGGTTATGGTGGTGCCGGGGGATATGGTGGCGGAGGAGGTGCAGGAAGTGGTGGGGGTTATGGAGCAGTAGGAGAACATGGTGCTGCTGGCTATGGAGGTGGTAGTGGTGGTGGAGAAGGCGGTGGCGTTGCCTATGGAGGTGCTGGTGGACATGGTGGTGGCTGCGGCGGTGGTACTGGTGGTGGACAAGGCGGTGGCGTTGCCTATGGAGGTGCTGGTGGCGGCAGTGGTAGTGGTGGTGGACAAGGCGGTGGCGTTGCCTATGGAGGTGCTGGTGGACATGGTGGTGGTGGTGGCGGCGGTAGTGGTGGCGGTGGTGCTTATGGTGCAGGGGGCGCTGGAGGATATGGAAGTGGGGGTGGTGAAGGAGGTGGTGCCGGCTATGGTGCTGGTGGGGAACATGGAGTGGGCGGTGGTGGAGGTGGCGGTACTGGTGGTGGTGGTGGCTCTGGATATGCTGGAGAGCATGGCAGTGGTTATGGAGGTGGAGCAGGTGGTGGAGCTGGCGGTGGCTATGGGGCTGGTGGTGAACATGGCGGAGGCTATGGAGGAGGTGGCGGACATGGTGGGGGTGCCGGAGGAGGTTATGCTGCTGGAGGAGCAAGTGGAGGAGGATATGGTAGTGGGGGAGGAGCTGGAGGTGGAGCTAGTGGCGGCTATGCGGGTGGTGCCGGTGGAGGAGGAGGTTCTGGTGGTGGCAGCGGCTATGGAGGAGCACATGGAGGTGCATACGGAGGAGGTGGTGGGGCCGGTGAGGGCGGTGGCCATGGGGGTTATGTTCCTTGAGATTCCCCTTACTACTTGTTTGTCACTAAAAGCTTTACCTCTTCTTACCTATATTAAATTATTAATAGTATTAAAAAGGGAAAAAAAAATAAGATAAATGTGGGTATAAGAGGATTATTATAATTTTGAGTATATGAAGAATCCCAATTCTATGCTCCCAAAGATTGTATCTGTTGATGATTAATATGGATTCTTGTTCTTCATGATATATTTATGAATGTTACGTACCATTGTGCTGCGGGCATTTGAATAACAATGACTGTTGTTTCTCAAATAGCTAGTAAACATAAATAATTGTTTGGTTGAATTCTAGAAGTGCAACCAAAAAGAGAAAACAAAAATAAACAAAAAAAAGAGAGGAAAAAAGAAAGAAAAGAAAGCTTGGTAAACCATTGAAATTTAAATAATAATAAAATAAAAAAATCATAATACCAAAGCATAGCAGTTCAGTATTTACCATTATTTTCTTGTGGATTTTGTGGGTTGAGAGAGGTGATCCGTGCTAATGCTAGTAATGACTTTGAATTGAGTCAGTGAGCCTAACAATTATCTTTCTATTGTCACCCACAAAATTGGCCTTTTGCTGTGGCTATCTGTTCTTCGTGGAGAGAAAAAGAAATGATAGTGTTTTCAGGGTTGACAGCAACCCTCTCCAATTGAACTATCAAATGCAAGTTGGTAGCCGCAAATCCCAAGCCTTCTTTCCTTCTGAGCCTTTTTTTGGAGTGGAGACAGCCTGATGTAGATTGATGTTTCTTTATTTATTTGTTTGGCCGGCCCGCATGGCTCTCCCTTGACTTTGCTTTGTTTTGGCCTTACTGTGACTTGTTTCTTTTTTTTTTTTTTTTAGATTTCGATAGTTAATGATTATTTTGGTTTTATATGCATGTCCTTTGACTTTAATTACTTTTTTTGTTATGTCGATTTTACCATTTGAGGTAAATAAGGAAACACATTGAAAGTCCAAATTTAATGCATTCTTTCATTGTAATTGAATTTCATAATTTAAAATTTGAATTCTTTCCTTGAGAACATTTACCTAATATATGTATAAAATACAATTTAATCAATAAAAAGTAAAGACCCACATATTATACTAATCGATGAGGCAAACACCCACATGAAATTATATACTTATGCATCAAGTAAACACCCAAATATTTAAACAATATAAACAAATTGATGACATTTTTATGTACCTAATTGTTCACCCGTTTTATGTTTGCTCCTGTGATGGAAGGGTAAAGTTCCTCATTGCCTTGAAAACCATTGACTGGTCAACAAGTCAACTTTCTTTACTATACGAGCGTGCCACTGCTAGTAATAAAAATTCTACCAGACTTCTTAAAAATAGATAACTTGCACTCGAAGTTACTAATTTTTAAACAAGAGATTCTGAATTTGGGTGAGGAATATCTCCCAAGTAAGTTCTTTTCTTGCCTCACACTGGTGAATAATTCACAATTTTTCACAATACAAAACTGGCAGTTCTTGCCATAATAAATGATAAGATAGTAAACCGTTTTAGGCAAAAGTGCCTTTTACAAAACTCAAGAGGGAAAAACCAACTCTAGAAAGGCAAAAAGAAGGCTGGACTTCCATTTTTGTCTGGATAAAAGCTTCTGACCCAAGCTGGATTGGGTATGTCTGTGCTGGACTGGACTGTTAGCAACTTCAACTGTTGAGTTTCAGCTGTAAATCGATGCCAATGTTCGAGTTTGGTAGAGCTTTAATCTATTTCAAACCCTGGAAGGCTTCTTGAATGGGCATAATTGCGGCCTCTTCAGTCTAAAAAAGGCAGAAGTGGCTGGACTTGAGGATTACTGAGCTGGAACTGCATTGTGGTACCTGTTCTGCTTGATCAAGGCTCTCCATAAATTTGTTGAGATTTTCATATTTGTAAAACCCGAGCTCTGCTTGATTTGGCTTTTGCTGAACCAAATTTGTAAAGAGAGAAATCTCGTTTTGGATGATTTATTTCTCTAAGTTTGAAATTGGAAGTTTTGATTTGTAGCTGGCTTCTTTCTTGTTGGCTCAATGAGCTTTTGGTTGCTTTAGTTTGTTTGAAAGTTCTTTGAGATCAAGTGATCATTTTGAGTTTTTGTCTTTGATTGATTTTTTTGATTGTGTTTTGCTATGTTCACCCTCTCTTATATTTATAAGAAATGCTTTGGATGGGGCTTCTAATATTTTAATAATGGGCGGCAAAATTGTATCAAAAGATCTTTCATTTTTAAATGCAAAGAAAAAGGGGTTTTATCAATTCTGGCAGATAAGTCCTTAGTAGTCAGTTCTAAGGCAATCACTTCCCTGTATTTTTGAAAAGAAACCTAACCCTTCTTCCAATTCGACTGCTTTTTGTAAGTGCTCACACTGTGACGGTTAGTTTGATTTTCCAGTTTTGAACAACTCTCTACTTCCTACCTATCTCTCAAAAACATAGTATGCTTATCTTTTGAAAATGGTGCCTTCTCTGGAGCAAAGAATATCTCTAAATATATATATAATAGGGATTTGATCTTCCGGTTGCTGAGATTTTCAAAGATGTCCTTCCTTTATACCTGCCCTTGTCAACTCTTTATCAACCCAGTTGAAATTGCTTACTTTTCCAAGTCAGGAGATCACGTGGGTTTGTCTCCAATTTTGGGCTTTTCTTCTCTTTTAATCAAGCCAAGTCCAGGTCGAGTTTTTGGAGCTATGGGTTGATTTCTTCCTTTTTCTTCCTTTCGAAGCCTAAGTTTTTTGACAGATCCAGGGTTGGGCTTTTCTTTTTTTGGATTTTGGGCCTTAGACTTTTCTAATCGCAAAGTCCAGACTGCTTAGGCCCTGTAGTTCGTTTTGTTTCTCTGGCTTTTAGTGTTGGGCTGGGTGTGCAGAATTTTGGCCCAAACACTAATATATAGGTACTATGAGCTAATGTGATTTATTTTAATATATGTATATATATAAGTAGAATTTTCTAATGTACCTGGTTTTTAGGTTATATAAGATTATGTATCCAATTACTAGGTAAATGTGAGATTATGTACATAACTTACTAGGTAAATATAGGATTGTACCTGATTATTAGGGGAAGTATGAGATAATATATAATCTACCTGACATATAGGTATTTTGTTATTTTCAATATATCTTTTTTTTTAGTTTCTTCAATTTACGTAATACAGAGGTCGTAAACAATAAGAACGAAAGCCAACGATTTTTTTGGATTGGGCAAGCACCTACTGAGTGACAGAAAGATGTTTCAAGCCTTTCTAAGGATCACTGTCACCTGCGCAGTAGGCGTTGGTGTTGTTGCATTGGGAGTCGACACTACATATGGGTATATCCCTCCATGGTCGTCGATGGAGAAAGTTTGTCATGTGTTGAGGTTTATGTCCTTAGAAGTCATTTTACAAATAGGTAAATTTGTCTTTAAAATGTTGAAAATAAGGTGGGTGGGAAAATAGAACAGGTGGGTGGAAATAGCAACACTCTTGGATACACAATAATAAGGTAAATAATTGTCACTAAACAAACGAGTAAATAGTTGACATACACCGACACATTATTTGGTGAACGAATTAAAGGAACCACAACAGGCACCAGGCTCAACATCAAACCTAGAATGCATAGCCCACTCCTACTATGTTGCCTGATAGTGCCCACAACAATAGAATGCAAGCTGTTGAGTTTTTTTGGCGTCATTCTTTGGATTGCTAAAATTGAACGTTACATCTAAAGAATTTTGTAAACCAAAAGCCCAATATATGTGAGGAGAGGACGAGAAATGAATCATAACAGGCACTTGTGAAGTTGGCATTATGGCATTCTCATTCTTAAACATGACTGTACATAATAATTAATCAACTGCTAATTAAGATTATACTTAATTTAACCCACTCCACATATATACATATAATGCTAATTAAGTCAATTATTCGGATTATGGATGACGGTAATTATTTAAAAATTAAATTAGCATGCAGCTTCTTATTATCTATTAATTATTTCACCTAAATTCATACCCACTAATAATTTGAAAGAACCTTGAAAATAGCCTAAAACCAACACGTAGCAGCAAGACTACCAAACATAAGCTCTCCTCTATTTCTATATATGATTTGTTCTAGCATTCAGCCACTTTTTTTGAAACACCTCAAATTTTCTTCTGTATGTGCTTTAACCACCCTTTCCCGCTCCTATATATACCTTCACCTCTCTTGCATTCTACTCCATTGTTGTGGATTCAACTACATTATTTCAATGACTACTCAAAACACTCATAGTTTTGTCTTCTTTACGTTATTAGGTATAGGAATATGTTCAGCAAGAACACTCCTACATGATAGAGAGCCTGCCCATGCACCTGCTGTCAGCTATGGTGCAGGCCATGTCGTCGGTGGTGGTGGATCGGAGTATAGATTTGGTGGTGCTGCAAGTTATGGTGGTGTTTGGGGATATGGTGGCATAGGAGGTGCAGGAAGTGGTGGGGATTATGGAGCGATAGGAGAACATGGTGCTCCTAGTTATAGAGGTGGTAGTGGTGGCGGAAAAGGCGGTGGCGTTGCCTATGGAGGTGCTGGTGGACATGGTGGTGGTGGCGGCGGTGTTGCCTATGGAGGTGTTGGTAGTGGTGTTGGCGGTAGTGGTGGTGTTGATGGTGGTGGGGGCGCTAAAAGACATGGAAGTGGGAGTGGTGAAGGAGGTGGTGCCAGTTATGGTGTTGGTGGTGAACATGGAGCGAGCAGCGATGGTCGAGGTACTGGCGGTGGCTCTGGATATGCTGGAAAGTATGGTAGTGGTTACAGAGGTGAAGAAGGTGGTGGTGCCGGTGGTAGTCATGGTGCTGGTGGCAAACATGACAAAGGTTATGGAGGAGGCGGCAAACATGGTGTTGGTGTCGGAGGAGGCAGCGTACATGGTGCTAGTGCCGAAGGAGGCAATGCTGCTGGAGTAGCAAGTGGAGGAGGAGCTGGAGGTGGAGCTATTGGTGGCTATACAGGTGGTGTAGAAGGTGGTGGTGCCGGTGGTAGTCATGGTGCTGGTGGCAAACATGACAAAGGTTATGGAGGAGGCGGCAAACATGGTGTTGGTGCCGGAGGAGGCAGCGTACATGGTGTTGGTGCCGAAGGAGGCAATGCTGCTGGAGTAGCAAGTGGAGGAGGAGCTGGAGGTGGAGCTATTGGTGGCTATACAGGTGGTGTAGAAGGAGGTGGTGCCGGAGGAGGCAGCGAACATAGTGTTGGTGGAAAACATGATGTTGGTGCCATTAAAGGCGATAAACAAGGTAGTGGTGCCGGTGGCAAACATGGTGCTGGTGGAAAACATAGCGAAGGCTATGGAGGAGGCGGTGGACATGGTGGTGGTGCCGGAAGAGGTTATGCTGCTGGAGGAGCAAGTAGTGGAGCTATTGGAAGAACAAGTGGTAGAGGAGTTGGAGGTGGAGCTAATGGTGGCTATGCAGGTGGTGTCAGAGGAGGCGGAAAACATGGTGCTAGTGCCATTAGAGGAAACGAACATGGTGATGGTGCCAATGGCAAACATGGTGCTGGTGGCAAACATAGTACTGGTGCCATTGGAGGCAACAAACATGATGGTGGTGCCGATAGCAAACATGGTGCTAGTGGAAAACATGGCGAAGACTATGAAAGAGGCCACGGACATGGTGATGGTGCCGGAGGAAGTTATGCTACTGGAGGAGCAAGTGGTGGAGAAGCTGGAGGTGGAGTTAGTGGTAGTTATGCAGGTGGTGCAGGAGGAGGCAACGGACATGGTGGTGGTGTTGGGGGAGGCGGCGGACATGGTGCTGGTAGTGGTGCTGATGGCAAACATGGTGCTAGTGCCACTGGAGGTGGCAAACATGGTGCTGGTGCTGATGGCAAACATGGTGCTGGTGCCGATGGCAAACATGGTGCTGGTGGAAAACATGGCGAAGGTTATGGAGGAGGCAGCGGACATGGTGGTGGTGCTAGAGGAGGAGGCGAACATGGTGGTAGTGGAAAACATGGTGCTGGTATCATTGGAGGCGACAAACATGGTGCTGGTGCCATTGGAGGCAGCGAACATGGTGGTGCAGTTAGAGGAGGCAGCGGACATGGTGGTGCAATCGGAGGAGGCGGCGGACATGGTGGTGGTGCGGTTGGAAGTTATGCTGCTGGAGGAGCAAGTGGTGGTAGGGTTGGAGGTGGAGCTAGTGGTGGCTATGTAGGTGGTGCAGGCGGAGGAGTTTTCAGTGGTGGCAGTGGCTATGGAGGAGCTTATGGAGCTGCATATTGGGGACAAGGTGGTGGTGAGAGCAATGGTTATGCTCCTTGAAATTACCTTTACTACTTCTTTGTCACCAAAAGCTTCACCTCTTCTTACCTATATTAAATTATTATTAGTATTAATAAGGGGAAAAAAACTCGGTCAAAAGTCACTTTTGATCCCTGTAGTTTAGCACTTCAACCACTTTTGACCTTGTAATTTCAATTGGTCATTTTTGTCGTTGTAGTTTCATAATTGTAGCAATTTAAGGACCATTCTAATTTCCATCAAATTATTCTAACTTTTGTTATCTATTTAGGGGTATTTTGGTCCAAACTTGCATCCCCTCCCCTAACCTGCCAACAGTCACGAGCAGTCCATACCCAACCCCAGCTAGCCCTCACACCTTGTAATTGAACACCCACACAGCCTCCCAGGGCTGCCCCAGCCCCAACAAATGCACAAGGCATAAGCTAGAAAGCCGAGAGCTATGTTCCAATAGTTGCCCTAAGACCGATTGACGTCTCCAAGCAATACGTACGAGATCAAGTTGGGAGAGAGAAGGCAAATTGAGGAGAGATTGGAAGTGGGGGTTGTGGAGACCCGTTGCCCCTCTGATTTTAGCCCAATTACGTTTTGGGTTCCTTATGTTTTTGTTCAATTGTTGATTGTGTTCTTGTTACTTTATTTATTTATTTTAACATTCACTACTTTTCTTGCACAAATTGTTAAATATAGATAGATCTATGAGTCCATGATATCATGGGGTTAGGCGGCCTTGGGAGGCTGTGATGGCAGTTAGTTACAGGGGTATGGTGGCTAGCTAGGGTTGGGTGGTACTGTTCTTGAGTGTTGGCTTGTTGGGGAGGGGATGCAAGTTTGGACCAAAATACCCCTGAATAGATAACAAAAGTTAAGAATAATTTGACAGAAATTACGATTGTCCTTAAATTGCAATAAATATGAAACTACAATGGAAAAAATAACCGAATTGAAACTACATGGTCAAAAGTGATTGAAGCGTCAAACTATAGAGACCAAAAGTGAAAAAAAAAAAAAAGAAGAAGAAAAATGTGGGTACAAGAGGATTAATATAATTTTGAGTATATTATGAATCCCAAAAGTTGTATCTATTGATATCGTTATAAATTCCTCAGCGAGTGCATTTGGATGACAACGATCGTTGTTTTTAAAAAGAGAAATTAGATATTAGACATAATTATCTTTACTAATTAGTATTTGAGACAAACAATATTTCTGTTTGGGTTTTAATACCTAGGAATGAAATTTTGTTTTAGATTTGGCCAAAGAGGAGGCCCATATTCATTGGACCATCTTATATTAATCACTAAAAAGACAATTATACCCTTTTTGTTTAAAAGATTCATTGGTTTCCGTTTTTTATCAGATTAGATCTCTCTCTCTCTCTCTCTCTCTCTCTCTCTCTCTCTCTCTCTCTCTCTCTCTCTCTCTCTCTCTCTCTCTCTCTCTCTCTCTCCACAGCAATGACGACCACGTCCTTCACCTACGATGGAATTCTCAAGCTGCTTGACTCGCGGGTCATCCCTTCGGACTTCACTGGCAACTCCAAGGTCTTCTAGCTCAAGATGAAGAGCGATTACGATCGCTATCTTGCTGAGTTCAAGATCGGCGCCGAGCGCAATGACCAGCCAACCCTATTTGATCTCGTTCTAGTACGTCAAAACCCTATCTAAACCCTAATAACGATTTGCTTCTTTGTCGCGATTGTAGTGTTTTAAAGGTTATATTACTTATCTGCAATTGTAATGTTGGGTGAACCCTCAATGTGTTGCTGCTTCACTATTTTTGTATTGTTGAACTTTCATTTGTAGAATTGTTAAGTTTCCTATCCCACAAATGATTAAGGTGAAATTAATTGGGAAAATGATTTGTATCAAAGAAAAAGGGAAGATGTTTTATTTTATTGACTAAATTCTATTAAATTGTTCTGCAGACCATTGCAACAGTGTGCATGTTTCTTGCTGGGAAGGTTGAAGAAACTCCCAGGCCACTGAAAGATGTCATTCTTGTCTCGTATGAAATTATTAATAAAAAGGATCCTACAGCAGTTCATAAAATCAAGCAAAAGGTAGTTATCAACCTATCACCATATGCACTCTGGTGAAATGTGGTAGAGAGTGTGGGAGCAGATATTTTCATCTCCAATCACGGCACGCCACGTGGAAAAGAAGATTATCTCTTAAATTAATTAATTGAATCAGTTTATCTGGCCAATTAATTAATTTGAATAAATATCTTAATTAATGGGATATTATCTTTATTTAATAATACCATTAATTCAAATATTATCCTAATAAAGAGAAGATAATATCATTAATTCAAATATTATCTTCAATAAAGAGAAGATAATGTCATTAAATCAGATATTATCTTCAATAAAGAGATATAATCAAGTCCGACTTGATCTCTACAAATTTGGATAGAGAATAAACTCATCATATTCTCTACGAAACCCTAGCCTCGAGGCTCCTATAAATAGATGACCTCATTCATCATTCAAGGTACATCTAAACCTACTCCTAAACCTGATAAAATACCCGAAGCTCTATCTCCCTCTCCACTCTCCATATTTTCTCCACACGGCTCCGGCCACCACACACGGCTCCGGCCGCCCGGTTCACACCATACATACAACTCCGTACTCTTTGCTTAGCTATTGTTTTCATACAAACACTCGAACTAACTTAGGCATCGGAGGGCCTTTGGCCAACACCCCCCGGGTGTGGTCTATTTACTCTAGTCTTTTTTACAGGAAACGAGGAAGAGAGAGAAGGAAGATCGAAGGTTGAAGGATCTTGAAGCGAATATTCTTCCGCGAGATTATTTGCACAAACAAATAGGTGTTTTAGTTTTAAGATTCTCTCTCTCTCTCTCTGACTGGGTCCACATTCTTCTTCAAATCTCCTTTTTGTTCTTTTTTTTAATAGAATGTAAATAAGTAAACCTATAAATCTGATTATCTTTTACCACTCTTAAATTAAATTCATTATTATTAATTAAAAAAATTCATTTGAAAAATTAGAACAAGGCATTTTGGTAATGAAATTAGTTTTGATTCCGATTCTTGACAATAGTAAACGATTTTAATGGAAATCTTTTTTTTTCATTCCCATTTGTAACAGTTAGTAAACAACTTAATTAGAATGCATGACTTTGATTCATGTTTAACCCAATTCTTGCTTAACCCGATTCCTGATTAGTAAGCATGCCATATAATGGAATGACATGTTATTAGATAAAAATATTAATAGACTTTTGTATTGCCATATCCGGCCCTGAACCATCCCATTGCCATCCTTATATTTGACAGCAACTAGGCCAGATATAATGTATTCTACAAGCTTGTTGTCCAGATTTATGCACAAGCCAGGTCGTATCCACTATGGAGCTCCAAAAAGCATCCTAAGATACATTCCCGATACACTTGACTTTGGTATAATGTATGAAAAGAATGTTGAGCCAAAATTGATAGGGTTTTGTGATAGTTATTAGGGAACAAGTGTGGATGACTTGAAGAGCACATCTAGTCATACATTTACACTAGGAATTGGTGTATTTTCTTGGACCTCTAACAAGCTAAAATCAGTTGCACTATCAACTGCAGAAGCTAAGTATGATATCGGCTTCAATTGCAACTCTCAAGCAGTATGAATGAGAATTATAGTGGATTTCGGGGAGAAACAAGAATGGGTTACTATGATTCCTTGTGACAACATATCTGTTATTGCTATGAGCAAGAATCTTGTTTATCACAACAGAGCAAAACACATTGCCCTAAAATTTCACTACATCAAAGATGTAAATTTCACTACATCAAAGATGTTGTGGAAGAAAATCAAGTAAATATATGGTTTATTGCATCACTCGAAGATCCTCTATTGTCACCATGTTGGATCAAGGTTAGTGTTAGAGTTTGAAAGCTTAGTTAGGAGTTACAATTCCTTATTATCCTCTTCTCTAATCTCTGCATGAAATCCAACACTCCATGACACGACCCGACCCGAATTTTCCCTCGAAACTCGTGTCGAATCCTGTTACATATTCCAGCACCAGAACGATGTCGGACCCAATACTAACTTTACACCTCTCACCGGTACTTTAAGAAAAAATGGATCAAAACTTCTACCAAAATTTTGGCAGAGTCTCCCCTATAAAATGGACTTTTCCCAAATTAACACCTGCAAATAACGACAATCTAATAATCCCAAAATTCACTATCTTGATTCAAACCATTTATAATTCTTTCCAAATCGTTCTCAAACTGAATCTGAAACACTAAACCACAATTAAATCATTTCTAAACATTTAATATCAATCTCAAATACTAACCATATATAAATCATTTTCAACCAAAACCTAATGCTCAGAAAGTAACCATAAAAAATTCATTCATAAAACATTTCATAAAACCATCATAACATGAAAATCATTTATAAAACAAATGTCCACTCACACACTATCCAAAGTTAACTCTCTACGGTTTCGTTCGGAGAGATTTGTTGTGCATGAACTTGGAAACCGAACCCAACTCCGAACTTTAAAAATCAAAACTCTAGTTCCCGGGGCTCAAAAGTGTAAGCATGACTTTTAGGGAGTTCTTAAGGTCAATCTAATACTTTTTGAAGGATGAGACGACTTCGGAAGACTCACGGTCAACCGAGCAGTCAAACTTTCCATATTGGTCAACCGGGCTGGAGGGGCCCACAACCTCCGATTTTCAATCTGAAAGTTCCTATGGGTTCAACCAAGTCTACTAAACCTATTCTTCAAGTTTGGCCTCGATTGAGCGGTCGGATCGCTCTTGATCGCACGATCACCGGTTTATATAACCTTTGAATCATTGATTCAGAGTATCTGAGACTCTGATTCTCAATCCGTGAGTTTCTACACAATCCTAGAGGTATAGAGAACAACATACTTGGAAATGAAGCCAATCCAACGGTCCAAACATATCGAACCCGGATATTGCCTAATATGCGTAAATCCGTTCGATTGCCAAATGATAACCAAATTCAAATCCGAGCATACCATCTTGCTCGGGACGACATGGGGAAAATTTTAGTACACAATGGGCCTCCACACCAAGGCTCACGAGCCGGCAGAACGTGGGTGGCTTGAGAAATTTTCGGCGACAAAAATTTCTCAAATCACCCAACAATACCTATACTTACGTGATCGAGACAACTAGTAGAGCAACTAATTCAACTGGGCCAACCCCCAATTTGGCAGGGAAGTGGCTGAAAAACACAACCAAAGTCGGGAAAAATCTAGGTTCCTAATCGAACTATCACGGCATCAAATCGATCAAAACCAACCATCAAAACAGCTAGAACACATTAAGAGGATGAGAAACCATACCTGGATTGACAATTTTGGTTGCCATAAATGCCATGGCCAGAGTTAGAAAAATCGGGATTTTTCCCCTCATTCTAGTCTCTTCACGGTTAGAAGTCGGGTCTAGAAATTGGGTGGATTGTGTAGAGAAGGAGGAGGGGGAGATTTTGGAGGTTGTGGCGTCCGATGGTGGCTGGACAGCGCTGGAATCGATCTGGCTATCGTGACGAGAGAGAGAGAGAGAGAGAGAGAGAGAGAGAGAGAGAGAGAGAGAGGAGAGAGAGAGAGAGAAGGCTGACCTGGTTTTTAAAAATCCGACTTTGAAAAAATTATGGTTATGCCATTGCACTTCCGTTGATCGTAACTTCTTCGTTAAACTCCGATTTGAGCCCACTACGTGCCTACAAACTCGTATCGATGAGCTCAATGCAATGGTGCCACTTAAATCCCAAAAATCCTTACATATCGAAAAGTGACTAACATGACCCTACCCCAAGGGCAAAAATTGTAATTTCATAATTTTATTAAATAATAATTAATTTGGGTCTGGATGTTACAGTCCACGTCACCTAATATGTGTTGTTCACATGTTAGGCTTTAAATGTCGCCACATGTGCTGAGGCGTGTGAGAATGTGGAGGTGAAAATGTCATGCATTATCATTTCCCACCTAGAAAAATCAAGATGGATGAGGATGAATCTGGACTCATCCCTAACTATAATCCAATAGTCTGAGAAGCAAATAAATAATGATAAATATGTACCTGCATGTTTTTATCATTAACGAACCTTTTTGTGGCCAATTATCATAAACAAAACTGAAAACTATAAAAATGATAATGGATCTTACCAAACTAACTGCACTAATACAGAAGCTGATGATAATGCAGGCATCATATGGAAAATAAGGAAATATTATATAGCAAATGATTGAAGAATATTATACTCAAAACACTAGTAATTACACAGGAAAATAAAATTAACATTTCACGTTCTTTTGTCTAATGTGAAAGAGATCGAGTTTGCAGCATGCCGCTTTCCAGAAGTAAATTATTATCATATGTGGAATTATATATTATATATAATATAATAGATGAGTGATAAAAATATGGGGGGGCCAGGGACACTCCAGGTCTAGGAGTGGCTCCGCCACTGTGTGGAAGACAGCATGAACACACTAGTATAAGAGTGAGATTAGTAGACAGAGTGGGTGCTTTTGGAGAATGTGTCGGTGCCCACAATTATCCTTAGTTTGCATGTCCTTTCAACATCCACGCTCTCTCTTAGTGGACGATATTTTGGAAACCTACCACAAAAATTTCTATATATACCCACTTTCTCTTGCATTCTGCACATAAGCTTGCGGGACTCAAGTAGCTAGAAGTACTCCCATGGCTCCCCAAAAGATTGGTAGCGTTATTTTCTTTGTGATATTAAGTTTAGGCATTTGTTCTGCCACTAGAGCCCTCTTCACTAGTGAAGAATTATTAGGAGGCAAGATTAATGTTGCTATAGGGGGGTATGGTGGTGGTAGTGGAGAAGGCGGTGGTGCTGGATATGGCACTGCTGGTGGAGGACATGGCGGGGGCGGAGGTGGAGGTAGCGGTGGTGGCGGTGCTGCTGCTGCTGGGGGTGCAGGGTATGGAAGTGGGGCGGGTGAAGGAGGAGGTGCAGGGTATGGTGCTGGTGGAGAACATGGGGGTGGATATGGCGGTGGTGGTGGTGGAGGTAGTGGCGGCGGAGGTGGTGGCGGTATAGGTTCTGGAGCAGGTGGTGGTGAAGGAGGGGGTGCTGGCAGTGGGTATGGTGCTGGGGGAGGAGCAGCAGGTGGTGGCCATGGAGGAGGAGGAGGTGGTGGGAGTGGTGGCGGCGGAGGTGGTGGAGAAGGTGCTGGGGGAGCACATGGAGGTGGATATGGCAGCGGTGGAGGAGCCGGTAGTGGAGCTGGTGGAGGTTACGGTGGTGCTGGTGCTGGTGGCGGGGGCGGTGGAGGCTCTGGTGGTGGAGGCGGATCGGGTGGTGGAGGTGCACATGGTGGTGGGGCCGGCTATGGAGGCGGTGCTGGGGGCGGTAAAGGTGGTGGTCACGGTGGCTATGCGCCTTGAAAACACCCACTGTTTCACTCTATGGAACACTTCTTTTTACCAATAAGTATTATGAAAAATAAATTTGACTGCGGTAAGAAGATGGGTTATATTATAAATACAGCGAATGTAAAAAAGCCAAAGGCATGCTATCCGAGTCTGTATCAATTGAAACAGATCGAATGCTATAATTGCATCAGTTCATAAATGGACATGCAATATTGATGTTCCATATTAATATGGATATGAAAATTACTTCTCATTTAGATTTTAGTCTTTGTAGAATAACTTAAGAGGCTAGGATAAGACCTCAGCATTGCTCAAGTCCAGAAGATTATGTATGAAATATTATAACAAGAAGCATGGAGAGCAAATTCTTATTACATCAGAAAATCTTGGGAGAATACACATTTGCCAAACAAAGGGTGATTAATTTGATAGCTTGACTCAAGTGAAAACAAATAAAATCCATGGCCAAGTTACTCCCCTAAGGAGTTATTGCATCTCTAGATAAGCTCCTCAGCCTCTCCTCTTCTGCCAATATCCTTTCTTTGTTTCTGCATTCCTTCCCTTGTTGATCATGGCACGTCCTTCCGATCTTGATCCTCAGGGTCTTGATGAAGATCTTGTGCTCGTTTCTTAAGAATTCCCTTCAAGTGGTCACAGATCATCGGAGTCGGTAGCAAAGAGGCTGGTGACTCTCCAACGGCGCTGTCACTATCTATCATGGGCCGTCCCTTTATCATATCAACTTCCCCCTCTTCGTTCATCATCACCATGTTACATGGAAGCTTCCCGGCATAAAATTTTCTATCATTCTTTTGATGCCTGTACAGATAGATCCCATTAAAGTACTAGCTAAAATTTGACAAATAGTGTATACTGACCAAAGTTTCATTTTGATCAACTATCTTATCAGTCGTTTTGATTCTCATACTTCGAGATGTATGCCTAGTAAGGACATAACCTAACTTCTATTAAGATTTTTTGTTACAATTGGTTCTTTATGGACGAAAATTTGTCTAATTAACAAAGTAGTCTTTCCGGTAGAAGTGTGTCCGAAGGAAACCCTAACTTTTATTAATCCTAACCCAATCACCTTTTACGAAAATCTTAACAGAAGTCAGGCTCCGTCCTTATTGGACGCACTTGTCAAATATGAAGAACAAAATAACTGAATAAAGTCGAAATCTTTCACTGTAATGCATGGTATACCTATCGAAGACCACCCATGTAGCTTGAAGGGTTGTAATTTGCTCAACAACCAGCAGCCGGGAGGGATAACCCATTATAACTTTCTTCTGTGGAAAAACCTGCAATTAACATTTCATACACATGCAGAATGTTAGACGAGCATAAGTATATATATATATATATATATATATAGAGAGAGAGAGAGAGAGAGAGAGAGAGAGAGAGAGAGAGAGAGAGAGAGAGAGCTCCATCGTTAACTGTACCCCATATTTGTTGCAAAGGTCCACCACTTTCTGAAGCTTTAGATATTTGAGATCGCTTTTCCACTCATTTTCTCTTTGACAAATGACAATTCTTCTAGTCCCACCGGCCAAACATCCAGCCATGTCTTGGAAGAGACTGCACATTTACATTCACCACCCAAGTAGTCCATTTTATATACGAAGCAAAAACTTGTTTGGATTAAAGTAAATAGCCAGCTTTAGAAGCGTGACATGTAAATAAAATCAAGGAAAATTCTAAAGAACTTGGTCTTTTTATGACCATACTACATGTGTGTAATTCCATGAAATATTGAATAATCAATTGTAAATTAACACATTAACACCTACACTATGTGGTCTAATTAAAAATCCAATCCTTAAGCTCTTGGGTTAGCAGAAGTACAGATTAGCGAAATGAGTTAGGATTAGGCTAGGTCAATGGTTCGATTTCCTTCCACTATATAGCGTCATGCGATTTTTGTGGTGCAGGCTTGTTTTATTACGTACTCAACTAGAATTAAAAGCTCAAGATTGCCATGCATTTTGATCACTCATATATGCATATACTAAAGATTAACGGATTGAGGAGACTAGAATCACAGTACTCACGGGGAATATTAAGCCATGGCATGACACCAAGAAGAGTGACAGTAGAGCCAACGTTGATTACATTCTCAAGGGCCCATTCAAGCGGCTCCGTCGTGAACTCTTTCATCCCATCCATGACGATGAGCACATGTTTCGTAATGTTCATCGACTCTAGAGACCCGTTCGACATACGATAGGTTGCCAGTGCTCTGTTATTCCAGCTGACAATTGATTGTCGCATTATTTTCTGCTTCTTCCCTCCTCTTTTGAAGAAAACAACCATATTATATAAAAGTGAACAATTTTTTTAAAACTTTACTAAGCCGGCTTAGTTCTTGTGCCAATCTTCAACATAGAGAGAAGAAGAAAAAAATTGATCAAGAACCGAAATCGGAATTGTTACAAGGGCTCAACATTCCTTAAATAAATGCCATCTTTGTCATGAGGGAAAAACTAAGCTCAGGGCTTGATGAAACCAACGAGTGTACAGTCATGCCTAGGAGTATAGGATTTCACAAATTTTGGTTTTCCCTAGATTAATATAAGATGTTCATTCCTAAATCTTATCTCCAACCTCTAACCTATTTGACTAATCAATGAGCCGAGGCCAATTGTTACTAGGAAGTTGTAGTGATCATGTCAAAGTCTCTGTCCTGTTCACATTTTCATGTTTCGAGCACACGCGTGTATCTTCTCCTTTGTGGATTTTATGTTGGATACAGATGACAGCTTTCATTGGTTGGCCAAAGCACCAACAGTTTTCTTTTCTTATCCAAATTGCAACATTACTCCAAAAGAAGTAACGTCAAGCCCAGTTATTGTTTGACCTTCTTTAAACAACAATAATAAGAGTGCTAGTATAATACTGCAATTGCAAAATTAGTTACGTTGACATTCTCTAAGACCAAAACCTTTGTGTGTAAGCATTAAAGTGGTTTGGAGTCCAATAACGGTGAGTGTTGAGTTCAGAGTGCCGTTCCAGAATGAAAAAGTTACCTTATGGAAAATACTTCCCTCCTTCCCTTATAAGTAGAAACTCCTATATTTCTGTCAATAGCAATATGATGTGTGTAGAAGTTTTTCTTTTTGTGTTTGTAGACATGGAAATTATAGTGAATTAAAAATTCACTAATTTACAGTTAATAGTCAAAATTCAAAATTTGACTAGTCAAAGATAACTAAAAAATTTCTGGGTCCCACACAAATACACGTGGCACATGACTCATGCAAACAAAGGTGTGCACCGGAGATGACACATGTTAGCATCTAAGAGCTTCATCAATCAAATGAAATCATATGCCAAAAAGGAATAAATTATCCTTATTTGGTCATCTTCCTAAATCACGAGTTAATTTCCCTAAATGAAAGGTTTTGACTTAATTAACAGCTAAATTAAATCAATTAGCTCAAATTAAATCAAATCAGAAATCAATCCCACAAATCAAGGGATTTAGATTAGGGATTCCAAACCAAGACCCAATTCTTTTCCTATAAATACTAGGCTCATATTCATGAGAAAGGACCTTCAGAAGAGGAGACACACACTTTGTGAAACCAGAAAAATCTTTGCCAGAAGCAACACCTAGACTCTCAAGTTCTTCATCAAGCTCTGGAGAATCACTAAGCACAACAAATAAGTGTCGATTCTTCACTGCCAAAAGCCGAAAACTATCCACCACGTGACACCACTCGTGGTCCTCATGTGCTCGAGATTAATTCGTGACAACCCTCGAAGAATTCTCAAATTCCGATTCAAGATCAAGTGCTTGGCACCCTTGAATAGCACACAAGCTTAAACACACCAATCACTCAGAAGAATCAGAAAACTCTATGCATTCTTCACCTCACTTTGTTTGATTTTGGTTCAATTTGGGGGTTTTTGTTTGATTTGAGTTTGTTTGATTTGGGTTTAATCGGGCCCAGTCAACTGGCCCACTCTGATACCATGTTAAGATTTCAGATGGATGGACCCTTGGCCCATCACTAGCAACATCGATATTATCCCCAACTTAACCACCTGTGTAGCAGGTGTAGGGTTTATTCAAAAGGCCTCAATGTTATTAGGAGTGGAACCATTTATTATATGGAACTTTCTATTTTGTCAAATTTCCTGTGTGAGACTCGTGTTTTTGTCTAATTTGTTGCAGGATTTTCGTGTTTGCAATGTTCTTGATGAATTATTTTTGCACATGTGTCAAACCGTGATTTGCAAGCCCTAGGGAAGGAGGCAAGCGGTATCGTTATCTTATAACGATGTCAAAGTTTCAATGGCTATCCAAGTCACAATTGCCTTTAGGAGAGGTAAGTGGTTAGTTCCATACATGTTACTTATGTCATCCCTCTTATTCTTTGAGAGTTATTGTGAGATTTCTATGCGTTTGAATCTATATCTCTTCCATACACTTAGGGTTCCGTTTGAATATATTCAATTCTCCAAACCTTCTATCATATTCACATTATGACTTGGAAAAAAGTGGTTGGTGAACTTCTGCCTCAAGGCTATTGATAAACATGGCCTAGTTTCGTGCCATCATTGAGAAGATGAGGGGATCAAGTCTGCAGGTGGATAAGTAGCAAGAGTGTGGACTAGGTCCTGCAATATTTTGATTGATTGATTTCTAGTTGTTTGAAACCCTATATGAAACTTGTCATTAGTTGGTAAATTGATGAAATTAGAGGTCAATATAATTGTTTATTTGATAGATAGCTTTTGGCCCTTTTAAGGAAATCCTTTCACTGAATAAAACAAATGAAAATTGGATTGCTAGCTTTCTATTCATGTGGCCCAAGAATTTCGCTATTTTGATTTTGCTAGTGCTTGGGTACGGCATAGCAACCGATAATTCAGAATCTAAATAGTTCCAGTCCAGGGGAGAAATCAATAGGAAATGTTATTTGCTTTGTAAGAATAAGAATAAACTTCAATGAAATGAAAGAGTTTCACAGGAATTGTCTTAATCATCGGATATCATTGAGAAATAATAAGTGCCATCGAACGATTTCCTGCAATTCTTCCTAGTATGGAACCGATAACAGAAAATGTTGCAAGGTCACTCGTGCAAGCAAAACCATATATACTCAAAAAGAGGTTGTCGCAAATGAAACAGTAACTCATTCCACAAGAAACCAGATAAAATTTTGGCAAAAGACATAAAAAGATGCCAGATAAAATATATGAACAAACTCCTCTTCTATTTTTCTGTTCAAATGAAATATTTGAACAAACTCATCTTTTACATTTGCGGCTGAGCTGGAGAAAGCTTTAGCAAGCAGAAGCCTGGAACGGCTCACCGTAATGCCGCCGCCACAGGACGCATAGATTTATGACTACCACCAGGAGGGCTGACCTTTTTGCATGGTGATGATCCCACTCTCTTCCTTCTCTTGTTCGAAGAACCTTCACTTTGAGGCCTGACCATGGCAGCAAGAAGTTGGCTTCCCCTGTCCCTTGTCAAACTCTTTTTTGAAAGATATCTGAATGCTTCAATTCTCTTTGAATCATCTACATCATTGTTGGAAGGTCTTTTACAGAGCGCATTGTCTGCTGACTTCAAATGATCACTTCGAATAATATTGTTCAATGATCTTTTGCAGGCCACACTGTCCGCTGACTTCGAATGATCGCGTGGAAGACAATAAATTGGTTCTGAAAAATTCAATTCCACCTCATTAAGTTAGTTGCATTCATAAAGTTCAAGGGAAAGGTAATAAAATCTTTTGATCAGAGTGTATTTGCTTACCTGGAGACTCAAAAGAAGGCAGATCAGGACTAAGAGATCTCGGTGGTGTCATAGGATGGAGATAAACTTTAGGAGACCTTTTATGGCACCTATTTCCACCAAGAGACGATGTACTACATATATTCTCATTGTTGTGTGATTTTCCATCAAAGGAGTTACTTGCCCTCCCTGGAGTTGAAGCATCAATCACAGCAGCACTATCTTTAGTCTCCTTGGAACAACCATCGGCTGCATCTCTAGTGTCAATGACCTCAACCTCTTCAAATCTTGCTCGAGGCAACGAAAGAGTAATTCTCTCATGAGCATCTCCGGGTTCATTGGCAACACAACAATCAACATTGTTTACACTAGGAGATAAAATGCTGACACTCTCGACATTCTCTAGGACCGATTTGGGTGATGTATTCGTCATAGCTGGATCCAAGCACGGCTTTAGTGATTCCACTATGCTAGAAAACCAAGGAGTACCCTGCCTTGCATAGAACAGAATGTAGGCCTCCTGTGACAGAACAAATTCTTCTTGAACCCTAGTGACCTACAAAAATAACAGTGGAACTTTTAGTGTTAATCTTAATACTACTATATTTGAGGGTAAAACCTGATGGAAACAATCCAACTACCATAGATCATCATTACCGTTTACTGTATGTAAACATACAACAAGAACAAAGATCATATCATAAAGATGGTTTATACAAAAACAAATGGAAGAAGCCATGAATGGCAAGACAATCACTTCCACACACCAGCTTCACAAGAATTACAAAGTCATGCAGGTAAAACAGTTACAATGAATTGTTTATTACGGAATGTATAAAGAAAATAATTACCTTTGAGTCATCCAACCTATGCCATGTATCTGGAGATGACCGAATGAAGCAAAAGTAATGTCCAGAAGTAGATGAGAACCCAACATGCTCCACAATTGCATAAAGTTCATACTTCAATTCCACCTATTGCCAAGAAACAGGAAATTAGAACTAGAGAGACCACACCAGTTTTCTTTTTCTTGGTTAAAATTGGAGGGAATCGAATCTTGGATCTACCCTAATCCTAACCCATTACCCCACCATTTACAGATAACCCCCAAGGGCTTGAGAAACAACAGCCATTTAAACATAGCTAAAACACAAACATGACATTCAGCTAACCTTTATTTTTAGATCATTTAACCATTATCATGTGTTAAAAAACCTTGCATTTCTTATAAGTTATAACTGATACCAATTTGATTATGAAGAAACTAAAGGCAGCAATCACATTACTGTTGGTCCCACTGGTTGACTAATAGTCCAAATCCGAAGGAAAATCAACATATTCTGCGTAAATAATAATAATAATAATAAGCAGCAACTCACATTATTGTCGCTGCCACTGGTGTAGGGCTTCAAGTCCAACTCCAAAGGAAATTCTACATGTTTTTCAATCTTCTCAACATGAGATCCATCAGTTTTAAATCTCTTCAGATGAAATGCAGCAACTGGAGGGGCCTGGTCCACCACAAGCTGCTTCTCCACTGACACTTCTTCCTTGCAGTTCTCACATGTAAACTTCGTCTCCAAGTCATTGATAGTTTCTATCTTAGTGAAGGACTCCAGGGCCCTTGGGAGAGTCACTGCATCTTCAATCTCCAAACTCAGATCAATCAGAGGTTCGTAAGTGTCAGAACAGTGACCGCAATTGCAACATCGAAGCTGAAAGTAATTCATACATACAAAAATCAATAAGAATTATAATAAAATTTTGATTTTCCATCAAATTTAACCATAGCAGAATGAATCATGGCAATCAGATATGGAGTCATACTTTGCTTAGGAGACGACCACCAAAAACCCTTTCCACAAGGTTTTGATCTTGGGCAGATAGACTCTCCTTTTCCAACGAATCCAAACAAGATTTCTCAAGTTTGTCTAAGAAGCATTGCAAGAACTCATGGGCATCTTCTTGCTGGTATCTTTGGAAGAAAGATGAGAAATCTAGTAGCATGAGGGTTAAGAATCACATTCGGATGTAAACTTCTCAGGGTAAAACTACAGAATTTTCAAAGCTTCAGGTAGAATTACATATTTCACAACAAAAATTAGTGTAACTGCCCAATCAAAATCAATGACTTGTAGGGGCTTCATAAGTTACTCTCTTTTTTTCATTCAAAAGAAAGAAAAGAACAATCACAATCACAATTTTATGCACAGAAATCTCAATACGTATGATCAAAGGGATACGATTCAAATTGTCAACAAGTTTCCATGGTGAAATAACTCTTCCTGAAGAAGCTACTGAAAGATCAACATGGTCGTGAAGAGCACAAAGAACACAGAATCCTTCACTACCACCTACATAATCCCAATTTCAGATTTTAAATTAGTACATTTATTAAGAAATCAGCAAAACTAACTAGCTGCATAAAGCTTCCAACAATTAAGAAAAATATCAGATAAGAACATAAAGCAAACGCAATAGAAACCAAGGCCTTACGATCACAGGGCATGGAATGATTGCAAGAACGAAGACCCTCCACGAGTGGCACAGTGTGCGTGAAGCATTGCAGAATTGCATTCATAAAGCATGTGTTGCCTAGATTTGCAAGCCCTGCACCCTGCGACACCAAAACGACAACAAAACTTAACATCCCAAAATTACTTAGACTAAAATTAAACGCAAAATGAATAATAATTATAATTTTTAATGGTAAAATAAATACAAAGTTTCAAATAGGTTCAAAGCAAAGGAGCATACCACCATAGAGGGCTTTGTTTCACATATTGAAAACTGGGAATCCGAGGAAATCACTGATTCCTTGGTAGAATTCGACGACCACCGAGAAGACCAAGAAGGTGCGGAAGACGACCACCGCGATGGTCCTGAGAACTCCGAATGTGGATCCGATTCATAATTTGATAAATCGTTACCAACAATTTTGAGAGGCGAAGGTGGTGATGGTTCATCTTCTTGGCCTTCTTCAACAGATGGTGAAGACCCAGTTGGGTTTGGCAAAGAAGAATCCGAAGAAATATCGTCTAGGGCTTTGAGAGGTGAAGATGGCGACGACCCATTTGCATTTTCTGCGATAGACACCAAAGCATGGTCATCTACGGCTTCCTTTTGCGAAAATGGCGAAGACCCATCTAGGGTTTCTGCAAGAGCAGGCATTAAAGCTGGAGAGGCTGAATTTCCCACTTAGGTCTTTGTGAGAAGTGAGTCTGGAGGCAAAAGGTTGGCTTCTGAGAGATGAATTTTCCACTGAAGCTCTTGGAGACTCAAGAAATGGGCTTTTCAGCGAACTGAAATTTGTATCTGAAATTGGAATTTGGGTTTGGCTCCACGAATTAGGAGGGAAATGGGGATTTGGGTTTTGAGAATTTTGCTTTTAAAATATTTTTGGGGGTTTCGGGAAGTTGAAGCTGTCGGTTGGAAGGAGGGAAAGGCGAAAAAAAGTGTTTCGAAAATTTTCGGGTTTTGGAAAAGGAGGGAAAACTCCAAAGTCTCCACCATTTTGGGACCAAAGTTGAGAAAAGAGAGGGAAAGAGGGAGACGGAAAGATGTCGTTTTTCTTTATTTTCAGAAATTGCATGTGTTTTTTTTTTAAAAAATTTTTGGGACCAAAGTTGAAAAAAGAAGTTGCATGTTATTGTAGTGAAATATGAGCGAGGAAAATTACAATTAATTGGTAACAAAAGGGCTCATTTGTAGGATTTTCGTAAGTTTTGATATCCGTTTGTACTCTAGGGTCTTACAAGTTCATGTATGAATTTGAAATGATACCCAAAGTTTGGGGTTCTATGTAGTTGATCCTAGAATATATTAGGAAATAAAGATATTTATAGTAAATTAATAGTTTTTTAATATTAAAAAGATAAAAGAATTATAAAATAATTAAAAAAGAGAACATGAGTCCTATTTTCATGGACACAAGTAGACCCATTTTCTCTTTCTTAATTTTAAATTAAAACAATAAGTATAAATAATAAATAAACGCAATTGGCACTCTTGAGCATGTGCTCAAGAGCTAGTACGTGTATTATTATTATTTTTTATTTTTAGAATAGCTAGTATGTGTATTAAACATGGAGATTTTAAAAAAAAAAATATATATATATATATATATATACATTGCCATATTTTTTTGAAGTGCATGGAAAAATGAAGTATTTTTTTAGCAATACATACATATGTTTATAATACATGAATTCACTAAATACCTTTTCCGAAAGATGTTAAAAATGTCTAGGCATGTTGGGAATGTTTCTATAGAAAAAGTTATAGTCATAACCACTTTTTTATTAAAATAAAAAACCCAAGCTCTTGTTTTTTGGTTTTTTCGGTCTGAAAAAATCCAAGCTCTTCTATAACTTGCTTAAGTTTACATTCCCGAAGATGAAAATGCAGAAATTTGTTGTGACCCCCATTGTGGTTTTGTAGTGATCTCCATTGTTGATTGACAACCACACATGCATCTCTAAAAATTATTGCAAAAGCTGGCCTAAGGAATTTTGAGAACGAATATTAATCGACCATATCTATTAAATTGTATTGGATTGAATGATTTTAACAAAATGAAAATGAATAAGTGATCAAAACCTCAAGGACAAATCAAAGTCTTAACAGAATACAGTATCCTTTGCCTTGCTCTCTTGACACAAAGCAGTAATGTTATGGTGGTTTACAGAAACAAGAACGCATATGATCAAATCTCAGAACAATACCTGTGCTACAAAATAAAACACCAGCCACTCTTCTTAAGCCTGGAGAATTTTGATAAGTCTTATTTGTCTTTAAAAGAATTTTATGAACTCTTTACAATCACTACATATGATAATGGCTGGTGTACTTTAACAAATAAAGACAACGCATATCAACATTAGAGGATTCTGTCCTGAAGATCCGTCATTAAATTGGATGCCAAGGAGCTAAGCTTCTTCCCGGTCTCTCCCGCAATGTTTTTTAGGGAAGAGATATCCTGTTGTGCCTGGAAAGGAGAATACACAAAGATTAAACCGAAATTAGTTAAACAAAAGGCTGGAAACTCAAAAAGGAAAAGAAGAATAATTTCTGATCAGACATGGCCAAAATATGATAAACATACGACAAAAAAAATTGAATTCCAATGACTCAAAAACAACTAGAAATTTCTAATATGCAAGGCATACCTGAAAAGACAGTCGGTTGATAAGGTCACTTGCAGTAAGATCAAGGGGCAAATTATCATCCCTGTCACCAAATAGATCAGCACTAGAGATGGCGGCGGAACCCTGGAAGTAGCAAGAAATTTGTGTTTAATAACTTGAGTCTAATAACTTCAAGCACCCAGCACGCTTCAGCTGAGATAGTTTAATGAAAGTCGAAGAAAAAAAAGAAGAAGCAGCATTCGTGTTCCCAGGTTATCATGGTAATGTCTGGAATCAGAAAACTATAAACACAATCGTATAAACTGATTTGTATGCCAAAGATGTGTTGATGTTGCAAAAGACAATTTTCTTTTATTTTAATTATGAGGTCTAGCTGAATTTAAGCAGTAACAGTGCAGGACTTCAATAAATAAAAAATACTAAAGACAAAAGGGAATTAAAATTCAAAAGAAATTCCCAGTTGAACTGGGTTTAGTTGATTATGATAGTAATGATACATACCGAGAACTTCTGCAAGGAGGCTTGAGCATCAACATCAGCAGATTTGTTCTGATCACCAAAAAATTGTGCGGAAGAGATCGATTTTGCATTTGTGAATTTCTTCCTCGCTTCATCAGTTTCCTGAATCTGAAAAACAATAAAACATCAATATAAAGAAACACACACAAAATAACATGAACAGAAATGCAAACTGGTTATCAGTGTGCTGAACCATGACATAAAGCAACTCTCTTATATGTCACAAGTTGGTGTCTCCATCAGCCAATATGCAAGTGCAAAAAGACAATTGCAAAAATAACCAAAAGAGCAAACACTATAAGACAGATTTTTGGATCGAGGAAACCACCAGCAGCATATGTCTTCCTGAAAACAGGCTAAACATTCCCACAGTATACATCTTCATAAGAGAAATTTTATTTCCACACCTGAAATTATATGGCCAGAGCAACATCATGCAGGACTGGATATCATGCATGAGAAGGATAGCACATTCCCTTTGTCATAATGATTCTTTAAATAACGCTACCATTTGATAAAACAAGGCCTTACCATTTGAGGCATATGGTCATTGCCGCTTAAAAACAACATAAAATTGGAATGGAGCAAACGAAAGTACTCCTAGCCAAGCATACATGAACCATTTAAAGGATAATGTAACTCACTCAACAATCTCATGTTCTTTTGTTTATTTTTAAGACAATAATCTGCCTATTAGATTACGATTATAAAAACTTCAAATTGTAATGACTGCCTGAAAAGGAATGTTTTAACTCCAGAACTTAGATAACCAAATACATGTAGTATGTTAGGATGCTTTCTCACCCATGAGGGAAAATTTGCCTACTCGTTTACTTCTGAGTAGAATTTCTGGACCTTACAGATTCTAGGTATATGAAAACTGTTAAACACTACAAAAATTCCATTTGGTTGCTTCCCATATTACTAATATAAAGCAAACGGACTTGAGCCTCTTTAGGATAAACATAAAGCATTTCAATTAATTAGTGGTGAGCTTAAAAACAATGAATGGCAGGAAAATAAAGAAAAAGAACAAACACTCAGAAACTACAAATGTGTAAATTACTCCTTTTAATGAACATACAGGAAGCAAAAACATCACTTCAATTAATTAGTGGTGACCTTAAAACTTGAATTTCAGTGAAGAATGTTAAATTAAATGCCAGAGTGATAACTATCCAGACAGTTCAGAGGCACGTTTGAAAAGTTCAAGACAAGAAAATTCATTAACAAATTTCTTTAAAAAAATATTTTCTATGATATACGAGCAGATTTGTTATAGACACAGCCCCAATTTCACAGAGTTTTGGTAAAATGATGCCTTCCTCATCCATATCAACCTGCAGTATAACTACAGAGAAGAACGATAAATTCATCCTCATCTAGGAATTGAGGTATTCTGAGTTTGATTAGAAACATAAAAATGCATTACCCTTCTGACACCAATGGAGGCTTTTGCAAATACAATTAAAACGTTAATAGTAAAATAAAACTAAACAGTAAAACAATGAAAAACAAACAAGTAGACAGTTTTCACCCCACCATTGTGTAAACTGTAGCAGCTTTTTATTTCCTTCTAAACTCAGTTTTGTACTTTACTATTTTCCCCTCTTTAGATAAATTTGTTTGTTTGAACCGTTTCTTTTAGCAAAGGGGATTTCAGGGTCTTCAAAACATAAACAAAATCCTGAAGCTTCTCCCTTTTATGACAGAATAGATTTCATGTCTGACCATTGTTTCTCATCATAGTAATACAGTGTCTATTTTCTTCTTTCTTCCTTGACCAGATGATAGGAAAAGCTTAGCCTTTTTGGTTCTCTTAAATTTGTCACCCTAACACTTCTAAATCATGTCAAGCCTTAAATCCTGGTGTGAAAAGTGCAATATAGATTACGGAATTGGAGCCTTAAATTTTTTCACATTGTAAAAGGTCCTAAAATAACGATTTATTTCTAAAGAACTAATATTTATTATTGGGCAAGAACAAGAAACATAAAAAACTAATTACTTCCCTTGGGAAAACTACTTACATGTGAATGTCATTGGTCGAATATAACTTACTTGAACTTTGGAGGAATTTGAACTAGTTCTCTTGGGAAAACTACTGTCCATTCCAAAATCCGCAAAGAAATTTGATGACTTTGGTGGAGCAATATGACTAATTACATGAGCGCCATTGGGATTCGTCTCAGGATTTTGGACAATTTCTACATACTCAAAACGAGATGCAAAGGACGAGCCAGCTGTTGTTGGAGTGCTGTTAGTTGAGGAAGGCACTGGTATAACAGGTTCTTCGGGTTTCTGATCGTACAGGCTTTCACTTGACTGCATTTGATAAAAGTTATCTCGCTAAGAAAAAGGCATTTTCCCTTAAAATATAATAAAATAGGAAACAGAACTCAAAGATACCATTGCTGATAAATAATTTATTCTAAATGATAATAAGAAATCACAACCTTTGTAGTAAGTTTGCGAGCACCAAGCCCCCCAGTCTTCCCAGTTTTCTTAGCACCAAGAGGCTTCTTGACAGTACTGGTAACAAATGTATGGGGGGCTTTCGGGGGAGCAGAGACTTCAGGGGTTTCTTTCGTTGCTAAAGATGTTTCTTTTGGAGCTTCACTGGTCTTGACATCAGGAAGCCCATTAGATGCTTGTCCTGACTGAGATGCAACAGGTGATGACGGAAGACCTGCCTCTTCTGCCATACTTTTGGCAACTTCTTTAGAAAGCATCTGCCTGTATAAATCGGCAGCTCTTGATGTATATTTTGCCTCAATTTTGCCTCCATCCGTCCATCCATGCTGCTTAAAGAAAACCTGTGCGCGGTTGTTTCCACCGAAGCTCATCGTTCTAAGCTGTTCAGGAGTCCATGAGTCTAAATTTGTGGATCTGCACAAATTAAACAAATCAATTATAAGATTGTCATTGTCGCGATTTTGTTTTTGCAGTTATTGCTAAGGATTAAACCAAAATGTGAATTTCAAAATAGGATGCATTATTAAATCTAAATGATCTGACAATCATATTCAACTCAACCTTTGAAAAATACACATGATTTTACTTGTACAATCCATTAAAAGACAAATTATTTATCAAGAAAGTATCTTTTATGTAAACTTAGAATCATTACATGGAGAATAAAATTTAACAATTAGAATAAATCTAGGTCCAATTTCAATAAAACTATAATCGAACTTTGAAGTGAAATCTGAATTCAAACTATCATATCCGCCCCTGATGCTAAAATAATCTCAACAATCGAAGGTGGGGAAAGATGATGGGGGATGGAGGGGAGGGCCAAGGGGCAAGGGGTGTGGAGACAGGAAGATTCTGAGTGAGTGAGGGGTTGGGGTAGGGAGGGGGGAGAGTGGATTGTTTGGGAAGACCACATTGAGGAGGGGAAATGGTTGGTAGGCAAGATCGCGCAGGAGGGGGTTGGGGGAAGGTCGTCATCTGGAGGAAAGGGATGTGCTCTACATCCTTGGAAAGGGCTCGTCTAGGAAGATCGGGGGAGGACGAGGGGAAAGTAACAGGAAAGCTTTTCCATTAAGTGGAAAGTAACAACGAATAAAAGCATAAGTCATTATGGAAAGAACTGCTAATAGTTCTGAATCACATAAAACTAATGGCTTCATTGCAGTCGTATGGGTGTGTGTGTGTGTGTGTGCAACTTCTTATCTACCTTTGCAGTCTTCCTAAGAAAGCATGCAACAGTTCCCTTGTTTGCCTTATAGTTTCAGTTGTACTTCAGATATTAAATTTGGGTCAAATTGTAGGATTTATACTCCATCTAGCTCAAACAGATACAAAGAACCACAAGAGGTGCTTTCCACAAATCTCCTTTCTATTAAAAGAACAAAACAGATCACGGTTCCTAGAATAGAGCATAACCTTTCGCACTTCTGGCCCAATTTTCTTGCTGCACCCTCCATCCAATCCCATCAACGTCTATCTAATTACCAAATTCCTAAGATTTAATTAATGACACAAACTATGACTCGGATCCCCAACATGTAACATGATTTCAGTTCCCTCTTATTTAAAAACAGAACTTTGAGTTCTCGTAACATAAATTAGATTACATCACAAAATGCACCAATAGTTAAAGCAATAAACATTCAATCATATGTACTCAAAACAGCTACTCCAACACCCAAAATATAACAAATTAAGGATTGAGAGAATTAAAGATCCTTACTGCCACATGAAACATACCTAACAAAGCTGATGTGAACGCCGAGACTGCGGTGAGCGGCCGAGCAATCGATGCAGAGAAAGATCCCATATGTAACCGAGGCCCAGGTTGGGTTCTTTGCATTGCAATCGAAACACATCTGGAGCAAAAACCCACAAAATGAAAAACAAAACTCAAGATCCAAGCACAGAACACAGATCTGAATCAGATCTAACAGACCCATATCGAATTTGCATCAAATTCAAAAACCCATATAAAAGTTTCAAGAATAACCCAAACCAAAAAGGCAAAATGATATTAGAGAAACAAAAGAACCTTGTTTTCTGACTTTGCTTTCAGTTTTCTGAAAACAGCGTTCTTGTCATTGAAGATTTCAGACGCCATTGGAGAGACAAATCCTAGAGAAATTAGCGAGAACAAATGAATCCGAAGAGGTGCTTGAACACCTCCTCAGGCAAAAGAGAGAGGTAGAGATGTGTGGAAATGAAACCCCAAATTGATTTCAGGTTCTGTTTTTTGGTTTTGGTTTTTCGTTTTGTGAAATTTTAAACGGAACCATTTTATTAGCAGTGGGTATGATACAATGTTGTTTCAAATGACGAAACTACCCTTGAGGTTTCAAGGGTATTTTTGATGCTGATGGTTCGTTGTTGTCTAGTAGTGTAATTATTTATCTGAATGAAGGGCAAACGAAATTTGTCATGTTACGTCCCCCATGCCTTTTTGGTGGCAACTGCGGTTTCTACCAACCGTTAACGGCTGGGCTTATATATATAGATGGGTCAAGCTGAACCACCCAGTTCCACATTTCTTCAACCTTAAACTTTTTATTTTTAATCATGCTTAATTTAGTTCAATCTTTCTAATTTTAAAAGCCAGAAAAAGAAAAGAGAGAGAAATCTATATTTTATCTATTTATACTATTATAATAAATACATAATCGACAATCCATCAGAAAATAAAAGAGAAAAACCTTACGAGCCATTTACTTACCAAGAATGGAGGAAGGAATTGGGGAGTTGGGGAATTTATGAAGTAATGAATCGGTATGGGAAGAATCATTTTCATTAAGTTGTTTACTAACCATATGGAATCAGCACAGGAATGGAGTTGATTCCCATTATTAATATTTACTAAGTCTCATGAATCAGAACCTAAACTAATTTGATTACTAAGATGCCTTGCACATATAAATATACATTTTTCACCTAAATCACTTGTAAAAAAACCAATTGAATAATATAAGATACTATATAATGAGTGATGAAAAAACTAGTATATAAAAATATAAGGAATATAATAAATAAATAAAAACAAATATGACATAGTGATAAGAAGCATAACAAGACAAGTAGAAGCTAGCAACCAAGGTGAAAAGGGAATAATTTAGCTTTTTCCAAAGGTGATTAATAAACAACCATTGAATTTTTTGTTAAACAAAAAAGGCTTCAAAGTTTCATTTCTTCATTTTATGGGATGGAAGAACATAACAAGTGTCAATAGTTTTTGTTTTATGTCCATGTTTCTCCATATTGTGGTGCTAAACTAAACCCTAATCATAATAACCTAAGCATAATCTTGATAATATTAAAGTGCCGTGAGTTTTTATTTTTCTAGGGCTTGGGGTATTTTGTAATTATCTTAAAGTGGTAAGGGTATTTTTGGAAGGTAGTAAGGGAAAAATGGAATGGGAATCAAATCAACTACCCCTCCCTAGTTGATATGATTCCTCGTTTTGAGGGGATGTGATTACGGATTTTGAGGTGGGACCCACACATTTTTTCATTCCTAATTACAAGTAAACGCAAAAGAAGTCATGAATGAAAATCATTTCATTTCTTCCCATACCCATTATTGATACGTAAACATGCACATTTACTTATTAGGAATGGGCGTTGGAATGATTATGATTTCTTCTTCTCCAATGTTCACTAACACATAGGTATTGAATGATTCTAATTCTTGACTTCCCATGTGTTTACGTTACATAAAGAACCAAAATTTATGTGGATTCCATGTCAAATTCACAATCGAATATCGTCAAATTAGGAATGCGATCAACTAAGGATAGTTGATTTGATTCTCTCTTTTTTTTTTCTTTTTTTTTTGGGGTATGAGTTGAGTTGATTTTCATTCTTTGATTCTCCTATATAAGTTCCCACTATCATGACTTCTCCCATTCCTTATATGTAAATTGTAAAATATGAATAATAACCTTAAAAGCATAGTGAAATTACACCCATCAATATGTTGGAACCACCCCTTTAATTTTTTTCCCCCTCAATATTCCACTTTTGGCCCTCATAAATAAGAAATATTAGAAAAGAAATAGCTAGCAACCCTCATCATTCAATCCCGACGTAAGCTCACAGTTCAATCCCTTCTATTCCCTCTTCACACTTCCCAACTAGCAATATTAAGACTCAATGAGTTTTTGGCTTAATACTTTGTACTAGAGATAGAAACAATGTACATAATATTTTCTTCTTTATATTGAGCGTGTGTTGAATTAGGTGTGAACGGGGCTTGGGGTGTGAAATGTGAGCGATTGCACAGAGGTCTAATTTTAGAAAGGCCCCCAAATTATAATCTTGTTCAACATATATATATATATATTTGCTTTTAGTTAATATATTCACATTCAAATAAAAAAGTATACTCGTGACATCAATTCCTTTCACTCATTTTTCCACATAATATGCAACGACCCATTGCAGAATTTTTATTGATTTACTTAAATCCAAATATACTTTGAGCATTTGCCTATTCAACCATTGGGGAGGAAAAAGCATGTGACTGGGTAGGCCCTGGGTTAACCCTTCACCCAATCCCGCCCATTTCACAAGCGTTCAAATGTCATGGTTTCACTTTTTCAATCTCATATTGTTGCTATATGATGTAATGTAAATAAATAAAGGGTGTATTTCAGTTTCATACTATGAATAGTACGCGTATTTTGAGTTTTAATAACTTGATACCTTAACATTTTCAAATTTTGCGTCAATTCAACTTGTTGTACTCAAAATGTCTATAAGGCACACCCTCAAGAGCCCAAAGCAGACTTAGGCCTAGGTCACTTGGGGAAGTGACCAGCCGTCTCCAAAAACCCTAAATTGGCCTCCCCTAAGACCTCCCAGGCTCGATTAAGACAAGGCAAGGTTGCCTAAGCCCATGCAATGACTAGGCACCAAGGCCCTACGCACCAATCCATGTTCCATGTCTTTGAAAGGCCGAAACATCAACAACGAGGCCTACTAGACTTGATCCCAAGAGGTGCGCTCATCTCATAGAGGAAGTACTTACGCCATCAGGATCTCATCAACAATCAATCTGAGCATGCCACATCATCAAAGGTCTAATAGTCCCACATCAGAAGATAGCAAAAAGAGGATTCCTCATTCCCAACATAAAAAGGAGTACTTTACACCAAAATGGTAACTTGAAATCTCTCTAGACTTAAGTACAGTACTTTTCACTCCTTTTGGGAAAGATCTTATAGGTATCGGAGGGTGATTGGTGGCCCCACAACCACCTTTAGTGACTCATTTTGTCTTCTCATTCAGGAAGTTTGAAGCCCATTACCCGCAATACTACCTTGCTCTTAAAGTGCAAATGAAAGAAAGTTCTACAAAAGTGTGTTTTTTAAACCCAAAAAGACCACCCTTGAGGAAGGTTAGGCCAAAAATAGTTTGCGCGTACTTTGAAATGGTGGTGCAAAAACCAAGCATCAACACAATCATTAAGAGATTCTTTTATGATCCAACACAGCCTAAATAGAAAAAGATTAGTGACACGTGGATTAAAAAAATATGATTAATTGACAAATTAAAGATTTATTGTAAAATTAAAATTAGAAAATTGTACAAATACCACTTAGACTATTCATGGTTTGTGCAACTGTCACGTGTTTATTTTTTACGATCTGAAACCCAAGGAAAAGTGGATGGAATCTACAATTTTCCCATTAGTCAAGGGTTGTATTTATGCAATTGCTTGGTTAGTCTAATTGGGGAGGGGGGGTTGTGGTGGTGATTCTATGTTTAATGATATTGATAGGAGAATGGGGAAGAAGAAGATAGTGTAAAAGCTCTTACCTTTCTTTTAACTGGACCAATTTTTGGGTTGGAAGACACTAATAAGAATCAATCAATATTAGGTAACAGGTGGGCTAAATGGCTTGCTAGGTTTGAGACAGCAGGGTCTGTGGTATTCCGTGCATTTAGAAGCCAATAGGTCCTTGAGAATGACCCAATTCCGAGAGCTTGTGTAGGGGTTTGAGCTAACTGGGTTGCCATTTTTTGTGGCTCTAAAGTAACATGTAGGTTGTGCTACTATTGAAGAGGCATTGGCAGATGTGTGTTGTGGTGTGATTCTATGTTTAATGATGTTGATAAGAATAGGGAAGAAGAAGGGAGAGAGTTAAAACTCTTACCTTTCTTTTAACTAGGCCAATTATGGGGTTGGAAGACTGTAATAAGAATCGCTCAACATTAGAAGACAGGTGAGCTGAATGGCTTGCTAGGTTTGAGGCAACAGAGTATGTGGTGTTATGTACATTTGGGAGCTAATGGGTCCTTGAGAACAACCAATTCCAAGATCTGGTGCAGGGGTTTGAGCTAACTGGGTTGCCATTTTTTGTGGCTCTAAAGCCACATGTTGGATGGCCTACTATTGAAGAGGCATTAGGAGATGGGTTTGAAAAGGTGAAAGGGAAAAGGATAGTGTTTGAGGGTTGGGGTTTGTGTGCAGCAGACATAGATTTTGAGTCACCCATCAGTTGGGTAGTGTGTGAGCCATTGTGTCTTTGGGTACATGTGGAATTTTTTGAGTGACAACCAGATTTTGATGGTTCCAAACTTATGTAACTATATCTTGAACACCCATATTTTGGTTAAAGATCTCAAGATTGTTGTGGAGGTAGAGAAAAGTAAACGGATGGGTTTTAAATGAGATCTTGAGCAAATCTATTTTAACTTTTATGGATAAAGACAGTAAGATTGGTATGTGAGGGTTTTTTTTGTTGAGAGTTGTAATGGGCTTATAGTACTCCTACAAGGTGGACTCAGCTCTTTTTCACCCCTGTTTGAGTTTGAAATACCAGGCCCCAAAACACTCCAAAAGAGCTTAAGTCTTAGGGAGTGATTAAGTTATCTCCAATGGCTCCTTATTTCATTGCAAGTTTTTATGTACGGGAGGGCTTTACTTGGTGGAACATATGCTAAAAGTGTTACAACTTGTTTAAACAGGTGCTGGAAAGTGTTCCAACAGCTGGTACAACGTCCGATAGCTAAAGACTATGCATTGATATTGTGCAATGACCATGTGAGCTTGGCATGAAAGCTTTTGTGAATTGAGATTAAGCTTGGCTTGAGAGGCTTATGGTG